ATAGGTTGGCTGTTGGGTGGGAAGGAAATTGTGTTGCCAACTCCAGGTTGGGAAATTCCTGGACATTTGTGGGGTGTAGACTGGGGAGGGTGGGATTGGAGGAGGGAAGGAACTACAGATCAGTATAATGCCATAGCTGGAGGAGAAAAAGAAAGGGGGGGCAGAAGGGAGAAAGAGTGTGAGACAGGTAGAGGGAGACAGGAGGAAGCAAAGGTGTGAGGAACAGGATAACCATTCCGCAAGTTTCTTGCGGGTCTCCACTTGTAAATATTCTATTTGGCAACAATCACCTGATGTATCTTGACTTGTTTGCCTCTTTAAATTACTGATGTACTCACACAACTTACAGCAACACACAACAAATTATCTGGTCATCGTGAACAGTCTCATTTTGCCAGGGAAAAAGGGAAGAGGTCTTGAAGACTTCTGCACTGTCAACAATGGAGTGCAGCCCACAATTTCGGCAGGAATCCAGAGAAGCAATGCTGCTTTAGCTTTGTGTTTCTCAAACAAGGTGCACCACAAAACACTTTTGGGATCCTGCCCATCATTTTTACTTCCCCCCTACATTTTTAGCCCACAATTCGTGACATGAAATAAAGTCACTGGGTAGAATCCAAAACTAGAGAAATCCCACAAATGGAGTTCATGTCTAAATTTCTGCATGCACCATAGTTATACAACTGAAAGTTGATTCGGTACTTACGTTTTGTAAAGAAACCTGTTGCACTTCAGTATTGCTGCTTCCACATAGCTGTAACAAGAGTCAAAGGGGGAAAAACGTCTTTGCCAGAAAAGGAAGCAAAATGCCTCTTGGTTATTAAACTCATATATCCAGGTTATAGAAAGAGTCGTGGCTACCATAAGCAATCCAATGCTATACCTGAGATGGAAGGAGTAGTTTATTGTTGAAACATATGGAAGTGTGCACTGGATTTCCTGGACAACGTGGAGTAAGGATTTGAGAAGGGCGACTCTTGACTTAATTTATGCCAATAAAGGTACTGACTGACTGACTTTGATTTAATGTGATTCTTGAAAAAGATTTGCCGAAATGTACCTCTCACCAGTTATCCATTGGATCAAGGGATCGCAAATTTCATCAAAGGCACAAAAAATTAAGGACACTGTTTTTTAAGGACTTGTATATTTTGAGTTGAGCCTATGGTGAAACTTACAGATTTCTAATGGATTGTCAAATGAATTAATGGAAATGAACTAACATACTGAAATGGACAAAAGTATTCTAATTGTAGAAAAAATATTTAATGAAAGAGTTTTGCATTTAATATTTGATACACATTACATTTCATATTTTCATAGATACTTTTGTGGTAAAAGTTACATGGTGTGGTTTTGATTTTGGTTGTGGCATGCTGAAGTAGAACATGAAAAAGCAATCATGTTTAGTGCAATAAAAATCAGGCTAAAATTAAGGGCAGCCACAACTAGAATTAATTTCACTATTGTTACTAGCTGCAAAATTTCTGAAAGCAGCCAAATGGGAAACAAAATCAAAGGTATCCACATTTAAAGAGTGGCATAACAGAATATGGGAAATGTTAATCCTTCAGAAGATTTCATCACACTTGGAAACAGTTAACAGCTCGACAACATACTCCATGAATTTCCAGAATAAAATGGCTGAAGTTCATAAGATTTTGAAGAAAGAAAAATCACATCAGTGATCACTGAAATACAGCTCTGGTTTTATATATTAATGTTCCTACACATATTAAGGACACATATTACCTCTCGAAACAACTACTGGTTCACTGCATGGTTTAAGTTGTCAGTACTTAATTCAAAGTTCATACACTGGACTGGATACAACCAGCTTTTCTGCTGATAAAAAAGTTATGCTGGGGATCATGGGACCTGTATGGACAAAGGCTACATAGGAGAAGGGCTGGAGAAAGGAGGGATATTGGGCGAGATTGAATGGAAAAGCTCATTGGATCCATTCCTCTATTAATTGGGTGTTAATGGGGTCAATACACCCCACCAACGCTGCTAATATTCATTGCTAATGTGTTCATTTTAATCCAACTTAAAAACCATTAAAATAATTGTTTAAAAAGTAGCTATAAGTCTAGTTTCCATTTCAGTGCTGAAGGGAGAGTTCTGTCAGAATTTTCAATGTTGCCTGCCACCGCACACAATAGGCCTTTATAATTCTCTCTTGTCGCTTAGATTTTCCACATGAAAAATAGTAAGACATCACAACAATCTTTCTCAGAAATCCAAGCATACGTCAGATAACATTTCCATCATCTTAAAAGTCTCATTAAAAAACAAAACCCAAGGATACAATCTGGGAATGAGTTCTCTGATGGAAGCGATCTTGAAGAACCAGTTTAAGCACGTTTCCTTGGCAGTATCATTAACACATTCTGGAGTAAAGTTATCTGGGGGGAAAAGAAAGATTAGATTGAGAAACCTCTTCCTTACTTTGGTTCTGAACTAAAAATTAACTGTGTTTAATTCTCACAGTTTATGACACAAAGGGTGTTCCCATGTACTAAAACTATATTAAGATATGATCCTTATGGGAATCATCTGGCTACCTTTAGGCCAAGATGCAATAACTTGAGGTTCAACTTCTATTCTATGTTAAAACTCAGTTTTTCCGTTCATCCTTGTATTACAAAGCATGACACTTATTTTTCTCCTTTCTTCTGACTGAAAAGACTGCTACTCCAAAGTCAGCCTACCCACTTCAGGAACATCCACTGAATTTATACCATGAGGAAATTTATTTTCATTACAGAACAACAACAATAAAATCCTGTCATGTGCAGGAACAGTGAAAGCTTATACCCAGAATTAAACTTTGTTGGTCTTAAAGATGCCACTGGACTCAAACTTTGTTTTATTGCTTCAGACCAACACGGCTACCCACCTGAAAATCCTGTCAGTTTTGCAATGATTAAGAACTGGGTAACCTCTCTACCACCAAGCACAAGTTAGGTTAACTGCAAAGCTAGGCTAAGCATAGGGAAAGCATCTCACTGACAAATATTTTGCAAGTTCGCATTGCAAAGTGATTCCAGATATCTACCCAGCACATTTTTATCGTACTCTGCCTCCAAGGAGCTCGAGGTGGCATTCATGATTCTCCATTTCCCGCAACATCAACAAACAGGTTCCCTCTAAGAGAGAGTCGCTTCACAAGCTTCACAGCTGAATGGGAATTTGAACCGAGCCCAATACTTGTGACTGCTACACTAACCGCTACACTGTATTACCACTGGTCTTCTTTAAAGTTTGTTATGCCTTAATCCTTCATATATGGTGCTTGTATTCCACATACAGGGGATGAATACCATATGAAAACTTTGGAAAGTGTAAATTCAGGTGGGTAGCCATGTTGGTCTGAAGCAGCAGAAGGAAGTTTGAGTCAGGTGGCACCTTTAAGATCAACAAAGTTTTATTCAGGGTGGGTGCATACAAAAGCTCATACCTTAAAACTTTGTTGGTCTTAAAGGTGCTAATGGACTCAAACTTTGTTTTGAAAAGTGTAATTATTGTTCCCAATTAATGCAAAGGCACTGGGACTCACTGGCAGACATCTGACACCGCTCTTTACCATTTTGTGAAATTAATGTTGAAGAAGGAGGAGGAGGAGGAAGAGGAGGAGATTGGATTTATACCCCGCCCTTTACTCAGAGTCTCAGAGCGGCTTACAAACTCCTTACCCTTTGCCTCCCCACAACAGACACCCTGTGAGGTAGGTGGGGCTGAGAGAGCTCTTTCAAGAACTGCCCTTTCAAGGACAGCTCTGACAGAACTATGGCTTGCCCAAGATCAACCAGCAGCTGCAAGTGGACGAGTGGGAAATCAAACCCGGTTCTCCCAGATTAGAGTCCGTGCACTTAACCACTACACTACACTGGCTCTCAACAGCGTCTTAAACAGCTTCAAACATACTGTTCTGCTTCAAACCTGCCCCCTCAGAATGTACCTTTAGGCTCCCTCATCACAAAGCATCTTGCTACAAGCCTGTGCCCAACTAATCAACTTCCAGCATGCCACAGGATGGTCTTATAAAATGAGCACAACGGCAGCAATGACGGTTTATCATTCTCCACTAAGGCTAGTTAGGACTGAGAGAGCTCTGGGTGGCAAGTTCGTTTGCCAGCATCTGTAAAAGGGAGACAGCCAAGCACGGCAGTTGCGGTTCCTGTGCCTTAGCCCAGTGTTCATCATTCACATCCTGTCCTTTTCTAGCAAGAGCTTAGTTGAAAGAGGCCTCCAGCTCAGAATGTCCTCAGCATCAAAAGTCCACAGAGACCAGCTGCTCTAAACCTTGCTCTGGTGCCCAGGAGCACATGATAAAAAACATATGACGTGGCAGAAGGAACAGTTACATAATGCCCTAATCGTTAGAACTTGCTGTCTGCTCGAATTCTGCCTCGCTGGTCTTAGAAGCAGAGCTTCATAGTCTCCACAATTTGGTTCAGGCTTTCCAATTCTCAAAAGTAGGGAGCCTTTGGGTTGCACTCCCAAGAGCCTCATTATTTTTTTTTACCAAAAGGAAGGACACAGAATGTTACTGCAGTGATTACTGCAGGACCACCCCATGCTTTCAAAATGTCATTGACATTTTGGGACCTAAGCGCAGAAATTCAGGATTGGCAGCACCATGAATGTCACACAGGCGTGTTCTAGGGACTCTCACCCCACAATGAAATATTTCTGACACAGCCCTCCATGCTGGATAGATTCCACACCATCCAAAACTATTTATTTATGTATTTATTTATTTAAATCTAGATGATTGCAAAGGAGTAGCCATGTTGCAGCAACTTTTTTTAAAAAAAGTCTAGGGGCACCTTACAGACTGACAGCATTTAGTCCAATATGTGAAGGCTTCGTATATCTGAAGAACTGAGCTGAGAGTCACAAAAGCTCACACTGAAATAAATGCTGTTAGTCTTTAAGGTGCCAGTGGACCTTTGTTTTAAAACTAGAGGAAAATCCTCCAAGGCAGAATATGAATGAAACAAATTTAGAGGTGAATTCCTAAGAGGAGAAACCATCCCTCCAAAGTGACATATAATTATGCGGTCATTTCAATACAAGGTTTTCCTGAAGTCGTGATGCTACAGTAATTCCTTCGGAAAGGAACCTTCTCAAGCTAAGGAACCTGGGTGATCCAAAAAATCTGGGACACATCTCACTGATTGTGATCCATTCCTAGGAACTTCTGATGATGATTCAGGTTACAAATACAACAGCCAGAGACATAATGGTGGCAATTTGTGCAACCTTTCATCACATTCTGGTGACCCAATTTTCAACCATTTGAGCAGAAAAACATCCTTCCCAAAGGCAGTTTTGCTCCCATAGCATCAAAAGAGACACATCTTGCATCTACAATGAGCTGAGATGGCTCTCCTTTGTTTTTGTTTTTAATTGGGGGATGCCAAATAGACTGATAAAGGTGGGGAGGAGAAGCCTTCTGTGTGTCTTCTGAGTGCCTTGCGGTCACAGCAGCAGCTGATAAGCAGAAGCCAGGCGCGTTTCAGCTCCACGGAAGGGATGCAGAGATTGCTGCTTGTTATTCTGCTGCTGTGCTGGCTCTCTCCTCAAATGCTGAGCCTGGGCAGAAATTCGAGAGGAAGTGCAATTCTCTCCAGTTTAGCAGGACTTCCCCACCACCACCACCACCGCTGCTGCTGCTCAAGGACTTTTACATAATAAAGCACTTTGGAGACCCAGGGCCCTTAGGTTCAAGTACGCTGCGACTGCCAAGTCGGTTAAGGAGAGCGTAATTAACAGCTGCCGTTCAACAGTGAATGTGAGAAGCGTACTCCAATCTGGAATGTAGCACAAGAAATCTAATCTTTTTTTTTTATTTTATTAAGTACCAAAGACATCCTTTCGATTTTAAGAGCAAGGCCAGCCTTCGTCAACAGGTTCTTTGACATAAAGTGTTGGTTTCGTTATCAGAGAGGCAAAGTATGTCCCTTCCGAATCGCTGCAGTTATCCACACACACACCATGCCACACTTAAGATGTGTTTCGGTGAGCACAGGCTTGGTTTCCTGCAGGCAGCAGTGGGGAGTGGGGGGGGGGACGGACTCTGGTGCTAAATCAGAGGTTTGTACTTTATTGGAATGGAAAGAATGAGCACAAATACCAATGAGCATGTTCTCGTTCCACACAGCTGCTCAAGGCACGGCGCTCGGCATTGGAAATGGGGCGTGTTTATTAAGTGCACTGGAATCTCTCATTCCAGCATTATTGCCGTCAGGGGTTTCAAGATTTGTTTTAGTTATTACTGTCTGTTCATCCTATACAGGCCTCAGGCAGAGGACCGTGGACCCTCCCCCACCCCCACCCCCCAAAAAGTGAGGAGCCCAGATGAGAAGAGACTGTGCAAAAGGAAAGGGTGGCATAGCTCCAGATCTGTACATCTCACACACAGTGATGCCTGTATGGATCAACGCACACAAATACTCTCCCTGTTACACAGAATAGGTTGGATCCAAAGGCATCATTCCGCCAGTGGAACAGCACCTCTACTGGTAGCGGAGGGGAAGGATTTTTTGGCACATATTTCCATCTCCCCACCCCACCCCAGCATGTGTACATGCACCTATAGTATTGACCCCATCTAGGAGCTGCAGTGGCTCAAGTGGTTAAGACGCTAAACTGCAGACCGGAAGGTTGGTAGTTCAGCAGTTCGAGACCCGGGTGCTGCATGATGGAGTGAGCTCCCATCTCTAGTTCCAGCTCCTGCCAACCTAGCAGTTCGAAAGCAAGAAATTGCAAGTAGATAAATAGGGACCACTTCGGTGGGAAGGTAACAGCGTTCCATGCGCCTTGGTGTTTAGTCATGCCGGCCACATGACCACGGAAAACGTCTTCGGACAGCGCTGGCTTTGAAACGGAGATGAGCACCGTAACCCTAGAGTCGGATTCGACTGGCGTTCGAGCAAGGGAACCTTTACCTTTACCTTACTCCACCCCTGCATACACACATGCACCTATAGTATTGACCCCATCTAAAAATGACAGGAAAATAGAGAGGGCTGAAGTTTGGGCACTAATACCGAAGCGAGCAAGCTTGACTCGCTGAATGGGTTCTCTTTCAAAGTCTCAGCATCTCAGCAAGTAATATTTTCTTTCTCCCACCACCCTGAGAAACAAAATCTCGTGCCAGTTACAGAACACCAGAATACCAGTGCTGTGTAATCTTCAACAACTTCCAGATTAGAAGCCAGCTCCTAAATATTTCTGATCCACAGAGTTCAAAGGTGTGGTATCCCAGTACGTGTACTGAGGACTGCTGCCCACATCTGCACATAAAGCTTTCTACATGGAACTGCAACCGCACATGAGGACTCGCACATTACCTGGCAAGGAGTTGCGATTATCTGTGCACATAGAAAAGATTCTTTCATACACCAGCCTTCCTGCAAGAAGGACATCAAGTTTAGCATTTTAATATATCAGTGTAGAAGAAAGACAAGTAGCACCTTCTGATATAGCAGCAGCCATGTTTTAGAGGGTTTGTGGTGTGATTCCCGATGATGGTCATTGAAAAAATTACGAGATACTCAAAGGCAGCATAAATTTGGCTGAATCCAAGATGGAGCCCAATAGGCTGGCTCCAGAGGAGGATTTGCATGAATAAAAAGGAGGGCTGATTTTCACTGATTTCCCCCACCACAGACCTTTCCCCCCATATGCTATCAAGAGAAGCATCTTTGAGGGCATGTGGGTTGTGAGTGAGTGAGAACATCCTACTTCATGGACAGGAATCCCTTTAGTCTGTGGAAATATTCCATGGGATCCAAGCCAACTAATGAAAAGGTGCCACAACGAAAAGCACTATACCACATTTTTACCCACATCTTGGATGGAAGAGTGGATTGGGAACTAAGAAATGATGCTGGCAAGGTGGAAAAGGGAATGCAGAATGCACAAGTCAGATGGCCTCAACAAGCTCTGAAAAGAATTCCACCTGGTCCAGCACCATGTAGCCAACAGTGAAGCTCATGGGGCCCTTCTGCCCCCAGTAGGGATGGGCACGAGCCTAAAAATTCCGATTCAAGTGTGGCTCCCAAACTAAACCCTGAATCAAGCAAAAAACGCCCCAAAACAAACCGGTCAGTGTGGATCCCCTTTCTTCCGGCAGTGGTCAAAGAAAGGGGGGGGATCACCCAGGAAGGGTTAAATGGCTTCAAAGGGGGGGGGGGGACACGACGAAACTGACATGCCTGCAGCTATTTAACCCTAACAGCTGATGGGTGGAACAGCCTGGTTGTTAGGTTTAAATGGCTCGCAGCCATTTCAGCCTAACAGTAGGACGGGTGGTCCGTTTCGTTTCCCCCCACTTTCCCCTGCTTCCAGTCACCTCACAGCCATTTAAACCTAACAAGTCAGCTGTGGACCCATGATGCTCAGCTGTAAATGGCCTGAACAGCCATACTGGACAAAAGTCTGCTAAATGTTCCAGGGCTCCGAACTGGGCCAAGTTGGAGCTGAATTTTGGCTCATGAACCATTTTGTGCCCATCCCTAATCGTTTCTCCAAACGTCAAGTTTCTCATTGTCTATTGGAGCTAATTCCCACTGAAAGGCCTATCCCATCCTTTTTAGAAGTCTCTGGCTCCAGTCCCCATGCAATGAATGTTCGTGCAGAACTCAGTTCCCTGGGTGGGATTCCCCATGCATTGTGCCCACAGGATATCCATGCAACCATATGCAGCAGGCAAAGCGGCACAGTTCAGATGCAACCCAAGACCATGGACTAATTAGTCTGGCCACAGTTAGAGTGACTATGGTCCACCAAACTACAAGCCCGAGCACTTTCCCAGAAGCATTATTAAGATCCGTCCATTTAACCTGGTCTTTGAGGTCAGGGAAAGGGCAGGAAAATCATGCTACTTTGGATTAAACTTTATTCCACTGTGCTGTCTTCTTTGCTTTCTCACTTGCTACAAGCCTTCAGGACAGGATGGGTTTTTAAAAAAGTAAATAAAATAAGGTATAACACCTTGCTTGCTCTCCTGCCCAAAGAACCTCCTGTTGCATTATACTGCCACCTAGTGATAACAAGAGGCTTCCCAAGGATACATCTGCTGGATTCTCGTTTGGAGCCTTATCTCCAGCTTGCTCATAAACTATTATTTATCAATGCGGTGTAACTCCTATTTATATTTAGTGCCAACTGAAGAAGAAGAGGAGAACAAATCGCTTTTAAGGCAGATATATGGTCTCCTAATTGGAATCTGTTTTGTAAAATCATTACTTATGTCTGTCTTGCCCTGCCCCAAGAGAATGTTTGCTACCGAAATAGACAGACAAGAATCTCATGCACTGTATATAGACCCTCAATGACAACCACCACCGAATGTGTGAGACGATACCATATGCAGGGCAGGAAAAAATGTAGGGAAGTGAAAAGAAAGAATAATTATGTTGCCCGGGGGATGGGTGGGGAGTGGACCTGCAGCCTGGTGAGCCAATTTTTTTGAAAATAGAGATAGCTCGATTTGCACGATTTATCTTCAAGGAAAATCACAAATTTGTCCCCCAACACGAGTCAACTGTTAGAGATAAACGAGTTAAACAATATGAGGTAATTCCAAATGAAATTAAAATGACATGAAAAGGATGAGGAAACAAAAATAAAATGGCACACCCAAATCAATAAACAGTAGTACAGTTTATATAGATACATGACCCTGGGTTAATCTGAGCCAACAGTTTGGAATATCCTGTGAGAGCCAGTTTGGTGTAGTGGTTAAGTGCGTGGACTCTAATCTGGGAGAACTGGGTTTGATTCCCCACTCCTCCACTTGCACCTGCTGATGTGACCTTGGGTCAGTCACAAGCCCTGGCACAGCTGTCCTTGAAAAAGAGCAGTTTGTGCCAAGAGTTCTCTCAGCCCCACCCACCTCACAGGGTGTCTGTTGTGGGGAGGGGAAGGGAAAGGAGTTTGTAAGCCGCTCTGAGACTCCAAGTGAAGGACGGGGTATAAATCCACTCTCTTCTCTTCTGCTTCTTCTCTTCTTAATTCTTGATTATCAACCAGTGGGCAGTTTGAAATGACACGAAATTCCACTTGCTCTAATTGGGATGGGGGCAGTGGCATAATACTTTCCAACCACTCTAAAAGGAGTCTTTTTGAACATGGTTTCCTGTGCAATGCTTGCACATTGAAGAGAAGCTCTTAGCTTCAACCTGAACCTGGACGCGCAGCTATCATTGCAATGGTCTGCAATTCCTGAAATGACTGTGCTCCCTCTAGGAATCAACTTTTCTCCAGCAGTTACTTTGAGAATCCTCATTATGATCCATTGATGCTTTTGGGTAATTATGGAAAAACCCAAGAGAGAATGGGAGATTTACAGATAGCTGTTGGATGTGGGGTGTGTTTGTATCTGTGCACGCAGATAGAATAGTTACAGAGAACTCTGTGATGTTTTATATAAAGCATCGACCCAGGAGAGACAACGCACTTTGTCCCTGAGGAGTTCCCTGCACAGAACTAACCAATTCTTTTGGAGTTATGCTTTATATCCAACACCCAACCATTGCAATATAGAGATGTACTATTTCCCTTTGAAGAAGTCAAAACGAATTGGCTCCAAACAGATCAGAGCACAAAAAACCCAAACAGATCACAGCACAACAGCATATGCAATACAGTAGCTGGAAACAGCCTCCTTACTCCATTTCAAATATTTGCATTGCCATTTTCCCACATCAACTATGTCCACAAAGTGGCTTATGAACAACATATCCACCACAACATCTAACTTATGATGGGGGAAGCTGTACATCAATAGCTGTACTTGTATGTACGGTCAGCATAGCAGAATGAAAGGCTACTGCAGCCCATGTGACCAAAAGACTCTGAAATCAGAGTCTGAAAACTCTGAAAAGCATCTGAAGATGCTGATAACGTTATTTTTAGGGACTTAAATCTATCAAAGTCAGAGAGATGGTGGGCTGGTCCTATTATGTTGTCACCTGTGTTTGGTGTGGGAAAGAACATCTGGTTCTCTCTTCCCTTACTGAACAAGAGATCTTTAAAAGGGAAATGCAATCTGGGGGGGATCCCCCCCCCACACACTATTGAATTCTGCTGCGAACAGAAGAGTTCCCTTCAAGCTTGAGCAAAATGAATTCTCGTTACTAAAAAAGGAGAGTTACATTAAGAATGGGATAATGTTGCTACATTAGTATGACATGGAATCCTAAGTTTGCATTTGTCTCAAGTATCCAGGCTCAAAATTATGGATGAGCTAGAGAGGGAGAAAGCTCAGGATAACTCATTAAAATTAATCAGTCAGAAAATGACCTTCCCCTAATGCGTAAGTAGTAGTTGCACTTTACTTCTACAATACAGTCATTTGTTTGGGTGGCTTTCTAAAAGGTTCAAACAAATTCATGGAGCAACGGTTGCTGCCCATGGTAGAGAAATGGAACGCATGCATAGAGGCAATATACCTTGAAATACCAGGTGCCAAAGACAATCTACAGCAGAAGTCCACCACTTCCATTCCATCTTTGGCTACTGGTCAGAACTAGGATGCTGGGCTAGACGGCCACTGGCCTGATCCAGCAGGGCAACTGTTAGGCCCTGGTGTTCTTAAGACAGGGAATCATTCTTGTGACGGTGAAGAGGTGCACAGCACCACAACTTCAGTTTAAGCCCAGGAATCTTACATCTAAGTCCCAGACTGGGAACTGTATCTTTGTGACCACCACCACACTGGAAGATGTACAAATACCAAGCAAGCTCCTGGGTCTAACTGCAAGGGCTATTTTAGCATAGAAGATTAGTTAAGTTTAACTGCATTTGCTCATTGTATTCATATAGACAATTACACAGTATTTGATACATATGGATAAATCCCACCACAAAGTTTATGGTTCAAAACCATTACATATCCAATCGGCTCTATCGGCTATCAAACCTCTACATAGATATGCAAATTTAAGTCACTTTCTAGAAGAGAAGAAGAAGAGATTGGACTTATACCCCACCCTTCACTTGGAGTCTCAGAGCGGCTTACAAACTCCTTTCCCTTCCCCTCCCCACAACAAAACACCCTCTAAGGTAGGCAGGGCTGAGAGAGCTCTGAGAGAACTGTCCTTGAGAGAACAGCTCTGACAGAACTATGGCTTGCCCAAGATCATTCAGCAGCTGCAAGTGAAGGAGTGGGGAATCAAACCCTGATCTCCCAGATTAGAGTCCACACACTTAACCACTACACCAAACTGGCTCTCTAGATGGAAGCAAGCCAGTCAGAGATGCATGGAACATTTTTTCAATTTTCAACTGTACTTCTTTCTCCACCTGCATGGGGATTTAGAGGAAGGGGAAGGGAATCTCATTACTATTCTGGAGATATTCACAACCAATATAATCTCTCCTCACAAAAATTACCCTCAGCAACCCTTGAACTATAAAAGGATCCAGTTTTGGTACTTACCAAATGTGTCAAGAATATCAGTTATCAAGACAAATTTACTTGGATAAAACTGAATGACGCTTGTGTCTGATAGAAGTTTCGAACACTAGAGAGAAAGAGAGAGAGAGAGAGAGCACTGAGCTGCATTATGACTATTTTATTTATCTATTAATTTATTACATTTACACTCCACCTTTCCTCTTGGTTCCAAGCAGATTACAATAATAATTAAAACGTGCCCAGCTAAAACCAAAGATAAAATAACAAGCCCCAAATCCCGCCCTCCCAAGCTATTCAAGTTTGTCACAGCGCTATCTCTAAATTACACAATGAGGATGCTTACAGAAGAACACACGCAATGCTCAGGAGGATTTTGCACAGCAGATGCCATCAAATCCCATCCTAGGTCTCCGAATGATTTATTTAGGTATTTATATCCCACTTCTCTCTCCAATGGGAGCCTAAAGTGGATTACAGCGTTATTCTCCCCTCCTTCTGTTCGTACCTCTCAACCACCACTCTGTGAGGCAGGTTAGGCTGACGGACAGTGACTGGCACGTGGCCACCCAGCAAACTTGCAAGGCAGAGCAGGGACTGAGCTTGGGCCTCCCCAATTCTTGCCCAGCAGCCTCACCACTATACCATGCCGGCTCACAAGAAATACAGCAGCAACCCACCCATCTTCCCGCAGCATCCTTAAGTCTTCTAATGCTTGAGAGGAAAAGAAATGAAGCCCTCGCTCTGATGTGCTATTTTTTTTCTTAATTTGCTGGAGTTGCTACACGGGACACATTAAAACCTGGTATCCTCCCTCATGATTCTACTCTATTATCTCAATCCAGAGGAGGCCAAATTTCACTTCCTAATCGGTCAGAAGGTAAGCCAATGGTGACCCTGTGCCGGGGCTTTTTTTCTGGAAAAAGAGGTACATAACTCTCAAGAGGGAAATGGAGAAACTCATGGGATTCTCTGAAACAATATCATGAACTTTTAAACATTTTTTGAGAATCTTGTTTCCACAAAGAAGTTCTGAAACTCTATTCAGCCACATTCCTCCAGAAAAAAAAGCCCTGCCCTGTGCACATTTTCTATTCCCGTCTTTCCAACACACCGCTCGTTACTGTCGTGTGCTAATCCCAGGGCTGATGATGTGGAACCTGAATGAAGATGCTCCAGTAGTTCTTCATATTTTGGCATGGAAGCAACAGTTAAAACAAGAAAATACAATCCGTGTCACTATAAAAGAAATGCTGCAGGAAAACTAAGAATCCTTCTTCCTTATCTTCTAAGCCTATAACAACAGAAAAACATGGTACCAAAATGGATTATAAGGCAGTCATCCCTCTAGGCAATGCTACATACAAAGGAGTCCCCAACACTGGCCAGGAGGCAGGCAAGATGACCCCCCCACACACTAAAAAACACTAGTTATGTTGTTCCTAAAACCTAAGCCAGCTTGATTGGTAGTGGAAGCAGCTTGCCAAGAAACCGGTCATGTCCACGGAAACTTAGGAACATCCAACAAGCTACACACATGAAGCTGCCTTATACTGAATCAGACTACTAGTCTGTCAAGGTCGGTACTGTCTACTCAGACTGGCAGCGGCTCTCCGAGGTTTCAGGTGGAAGTCTTTCACATCACCTACTGCCTAGTCCTTTTCACCTGGAGATGGCAGGGATTGGACCTGGGACCCTCTGCGTGCCAAGTAGATGCTGTAGCACTGAGCCATGGCCCCTCCCTGTATGAGTCCTGCGAAGGCCTCCATCTTGTCACAAGACGAAAGGCCCTTGCAAGAGGTCAGAGGCCATAGCAGCTTCCTTGGCTACCCACCTGTGTATTCCCATACATCTGCTAATGCTGCCTACCATGCCAAGAGGCTAGTGGGTCCCCCCCCCATGCTTCCTGCTCCATCAGACGTGACTTGCAGACTCCCCCCACCTCCAGTATACTCTTGTGAGCCCAGGAGTGTACAGACCCCAGTGTGAGATGAAGAGCGTACCACGTTATACTTCTGCAACTTTGTACAATCACTTACATACCCAATTATTCCATGCAGAACACTAATTAAGACTGACCTGAATAACTATCTTTAGGGCTTTTACTTTTTGATCTGAGGCCCAGGCATCCTTCAAAGACTGATTAAGTTCTTCAATCCGGTTTGTGTAATCTTGCTGAGTCAAGTTTAACAGTTCTTTTTGTGAGCCCTGAAAGAATCCAGTGCGTAAACAAAAAAGTTATTAAGGTACCACAAAAAAGACACACAGACACACACACACACCAAGCTTCTTCCTCTCCTTTTGGACTGCGGCTGGAATTTGCGAAGTTGCCAAGTGGTGCATTACATAACAGACTACCATTGAAATTCAGCAAGAGTTGGACCTAGTTAAGTTGTCTTTGAAAAAGTCTAGGCAGCATTCTTTAAGTGTTTGGGATTGTAAAACAAAATGGGTTTCGCAGAATTAAATTAAAAGTTGGAAGGAGGCTACAGATCATCCATACCAACCCTCTACATAATGCACAGTAACCGAAAGCATCCCTGACAAATGGTCACCCAGCCTCCCCTAAAAGCCACCAAGGGAGGAGAACCCATCTCATCCTGGGCAACTGATTCCACCAAAGGACTGGCCTTATTGCTAAAAAGTCTTCCCTGATATTCCGCCGATTTCATCCCACCCGTCGTTTAAACCCATTCTTGTACGTTCTAGCCTCCATTACCAACTGGAACAGCTCCCTACCCTCCTCAGAATGATCGCCCTTCCAATACGTAAAAAAGTATTCTCAACCCCCTCTTCTCCAGGCTGAACATCCCCAGTTGTCAGAATCCTGGTTAAATCAGTTCTCAACACCATTCACTTCGGAGAAAGTTAACTTTATTGAGACACTGATAGATACCATACTGGACACGAGCTATTGTTAGGACTGAAGTTGAATGCGCAAAGGTTGCAGATATAGTGTGTTCAAGTAAAGGCACTAAAGATCAGGACCCAATCACCCCACGGTATTTGCCCCCCAGAATTAACAAACAACTTCCCCCCCCCCCACAGGAACGTAGCCTCTACATAGCAAGGAAAACAGAATAACAGACATTTGAGAAGCCAGGGCATTTGGCCCCACTAAGGGGACAAGCCCCTGGCACATCAAAGAGAGAGGAACCTCCTCTCTCAATGGCAGGCGAGCTGTAAAATGCATAGGGAGCCTAACACCAGTTACCTCAGCCTTTCTTCGTGGGATTTAGCCTCCAGACCCCTAATCATCCTCACTGCTCTCCTCCACACCGACTCCAAAGTATCAGTCCTTTTAAAATCCACTCTAGGAATTTCCTTAGAACAGAGATTTGGCTGACCAGTCTATAGTTCCCTGGATCATCCATCTTTTTTTTTTTTAATCAGGATAACATTTGCCTCCAATCTCCTGGAACACCTCCTGTCCTCCAAAAGGCATTGAAGATAATGAATAATGGCTCTTCAAGTTCCCAGGCAAGTTTGTTCATTTTGAGCAGCTTTAAAATCATAATGAACAGGACTCAGAACATCAAATGTTGAATTTCACAGGGATCAAGATTCACCAAGTACAAAGGTAAAAGAGCTGAGCCCCTTACTTAAGGTCAACTGGTCTTAAAAGTCACTAATTCTACACCAGGCACTTTGGAGATCCCAGCCTAGCTTCTTATTTTCACCTGAGCCTTCAAGGACACTTTGGCCACCCAACTGACCGGAAGCAAAAAAATCTTCATTTTCAGACCAGCCAGAACAACATAAGAACATAAAAGAAGCCATACTGAATTAGGCCAGTGGCGCATCCAGTCCAACAATCTGTGTCACACAGTAGCCAAAACCCAAGTGCCATCAAAAGGTCCATCAGAAGGCCAGAACTCCACAAGCCCTCCCACTGTTGCCTACCAAGCACTGAGAATACAGAGCATCGCTGCCCCAGACAGAGTGTTCCATTTATACCTTGCAGCTAATAGCCACTGATGGACCCCTGCTTCATATGTTTATCCAATCCTCTCTTGAAGCTGTCTATGCTTGTAGCCACCACCATTTCCTGCAGCAGTGAATTCCACGTGTTAATCACTCTTTGGGTGAAGAACTACTTCCTTTTATCTGTTCTAAGCCTACTGCTCAGCAATTTCATTGAGTGCCCACGATTTCTTGTATTGTGAGAAAGGGAGAAAAGTACTTCTTTCTCTACCTTCTCTATCCCATGCATAATTTTGTAACCCTCTATCATGTCACCCCTCAGTTGTCGTTTTTCCAAGCTAAAAAGCCTTTAAATCCTTAATCTTTCTTCATAGGGAAAATGTTCCATTCCTTAGCCCTTCTCTGCACCTTTTCCAGTGCTATAATATCTTTTTTGAGGTACAGGGACTGTACACAGTAGTCTAAATGAGGCCACACAGGGGCATTATACTAGATGATTTGTTTTTAATCCCCTTCCTAATAATCCCCAGCATAGCATTGGCCTTTTTTATTGCAGGCGCACACTGCCTCGACATCTTCAGTGAGTTATCTACCATGACTCCACGAACTCTCTCCTGGTCAGTTACTGCCACTTCGGATCCCATCAACATACATTTACAGTTAGGATTTTTGGCTCCAATGTGCATAACTTTGGCTCCAATGTGCATAACTTTGCACTTGCCCACACTGAACTTCATTTGCCACATCAATGCCTACTTGCCCAGCCTTGACAGATCCCTCTGGAGCGCCACACAGTCCTCCCTGGTTCTCACCGCCCTGAATAATTTACTGTCATCCAGAAAGTGAGCCACTTCACTGCTTACTCTCAACTCCAAATCATTAATGAGCAAGTTATAAAGCACTGGACCTAGTATGAAGCCCTGCGGTACCCCACCGCTTACCACCTTCCACTGTGAAAACCTCCCATTTATACTCACTGTCTGTTTCCTGTTAATTAACTAGTTTTTAATCCACAAGAGGACTAGTCCTCTTATCCCATGACTGCTGAGTTTACTTAGGCTCCTTTGATGAAGAACTTTATCAAAAGCTTCCTGGAGGTCTAGCTAAACAACATCTAATGGGTCACGCTTGTCCACGTTTGTTCACCTCCTCAAAGAACTCAAAAAGGTCAGTCAGGCAAGATCTTTCCTTACAGAACCCATGCTGATTCTTCCTCAATAGCTTTTGTTCATCAATGCGCCTACTAATTTCATCTTCGATAACAGATTCCACCAGTTTACCAGATATCAACATTAGACTGACCAGCCTGTAATTTTCTGGATCTCCTCTGGAACCATTTTTTTTAAAGATGGGGGTTACATTAGCTATCTTTCAGTCCTCGGGAATGGTGACAGATAGCACATTTTTGTCAGAAGACCCACAAGTTCACATTTCAGAACTCTGGGCCTGGTAATTTGTCAGTTTTTAATCAGTCCGATCAGTCATAGGACCTCCTCTCTTGTCACATCAATCCAGCTCAGGTCTTTTGACACCCCTCCTGAAATCAGCGGTTCTGGAGTGGCCAAGCAACTCCCATCTTTCACAGTGAAGACCAAGGCAAAAAATCCATTCAGCTTCTTTGCCATTTCCCTATCATCCTCTAGTAATCATTTCTTCGCCCCTTCGTCATCCAAGGGCCCCACTGCCTCCCTGGCTAGTTTCCTGCTTCTAATGTATTTGAAGAAATTTTTATTACCGGCCTGTGTGTTTTTTGCAATATGTTCCTCGTAGTCCCTTTTTGCCTGCCGGACCATTGACTTGCATTTCATTTGCCAAAGCCTGTGCTCCCTTTTATTTACCTCACTCGGACCAGCCTTCCACCGCTCAAAGGAATCCAACAGCCTTGAGCCCTGTAAACTCTCTGGGGCTCCCACCCTGCCCACCAGCCTAATGTAACTCATAACTACATACATTTCTTAAAGAAGTCTATTGTCTATCATACTTGTAACAAGTCTTTACTCTAAGGAACTTGGTTGCCTCTGTTAATCCAGCAAGACACGCTGCTCAGTAATACCAACCCCAACCCATTTCTCAACCCTGGCCTGGTCTCCGTCGCACTCCAGGGGCCATCCCACTCGTCCCACTCTGACATCAGGGGAGGGGGCAGAAGCCTCACATTGGGGTCAGCAAAGGTCGAATGACAGTCATCCAAAGCCTCACTAAAGTGACTTCTGCAGACACATGTGCTCGTTTTATCCTGTCCTGCCCCCCCCCAGCTTCAAAAGGGTGGATTTCCCTGCGGCGGAGACCGTCTGTCCCCCAAGCACTTCCTTCCAGGATACCGCTTCCTTCTAAGCTTCCAAGGGCTGGCAGGGAGGAGCAGAGCAGGGGGCGGCAGCTCTGCCTATGACGGAAACGGCCTCCCCCCAACCCCCTTCCGCGTGCACAAAGGGAGGGGGATCAGGCTGAAGCACTCAGTCACCTCTTCAAGATCGTCCAGCTCTTCCAGCCTTGTCCGCACCTTCTCAGAAACCGCTGATCCAGGAGTGCTGGCTTTTCCTGCAAGCAGTGAGATGTTTGCAGTCTTTAAAACAACGCTGTACCATGTCATACATTGTTTTGCATGAAGGCAAGCCATGGATACCTCTCTTCAAAATCAATAAAGAAAAATACAGAATGCCCAAATGATGTCTTCGGAAGCAGAAATGACCATCCAGACTTTTTTTTTGGGGGGGGGGGATGAATTGGGCACTTGAACCCAACAAGTGCATTTTCACCCATAACGTTTCCAGTGGAAAAGTCAAGTAATGGAAAGAAAGGTGGAGAATGAGACATGAAGCCACATAAAAGAATACGAGTTTGGGGGGATGGGATCATGACTTTGGACTTCTTAAATGACTTTGGACTTCTACACTCTCAAAGCTACTTTTCTATGTTATAGTGTAAAAGAATCAAACACAGACATACTGGGACCAAGGCTCCCTCTAAGCTGTGGAGCCCTGTGAACAAAAATTCTACTTTGTGAGCTCCTGGCATTAAAGTTGTGAGCGAGCAATTTGGCTGCTGCATGAATTAGTTTGCTCTGGAGCCATCCTTCCTGAGCTAAGACAAAAATCTGTGAGCCGGAGGCTAAAAAACTGTGAGCTAGCTCACACTCACTCAGCTTAGAGGGAACACTGACTGGGACACTTTTCTTAAGTATTCACAGCAAATCATGTATTGTATCTCACATCTTCACATCCACCTACTGTAAACTGGAGATGAAAATTGCCATCTAGTCGCAGCTGAATTATGGTGACCCCGCAGGGTTTTCAGGGCAAGAGACGTTCAGAGGAGGAGGTTTGCCATTTGTTTTGCCATGGCCTGCCTCTGCACAGAGACCGTGGACTTCCTGGGTGGTCTCCCATCTAGATACTAACCAGGGCCAACCCCGCTTAGCTTCTGAGATCTGATGAGATGGGGCTAAGCAACTGTAAACTAGTAAAGGTAAAGGTTTCCCTTGCTCGAAAGCCAGTCGAATCCGACTCTAGAGGTGCGGTGCTCCTCTCTGCTTCAAAGCCGAAGAGCCAGCGCTGTCCAAAGACATGTCCGTGGTCATGTGGCCAGCATAACTAGACGCCGAGGCGCACGGAACGCTGTTACCTTCCCACTGAAGCAGTACCTATCTATCTACTTGCAATTTCTTGCTTTCGAACTGCTAGGCTGGCAGGAGCTGGGGCCAGAGACAGGAGCTCACTCTGTTACACGGCACTTGGGTCTTGAACTGCTGAACTACCAGCCTTCCGGTCTGCAGTTCAGCGTCTCAGCCACTTGAGCCACCGCAGCCCCTTAAACTAGCCCTGTTTTATTTCCCCCGTACTACAGATGGGAGAAAGTGGGAGGTGATACGGAATAGGGCATAATGCCTCGCTCAAGGCCTCCCACTAAAATCTGTGGGTCAGTACGGTGAGGACATAGTGACTACTTGCCTTTCTCAGATCCCATGTACAAGTTCTGCAAGGAAAACAACACTTGTTAAGAATGTGTCTTTTAACTTATTAAGAACCTACTCACTAACATCCATAAAAATGTAACAAAATAACATTTACTAGGACCAACCAACATTTGCATGTACTGTGTGAGCTTCTGGGTCTCACTAAACTCTTCTTTGGGCAAGAAGCATTTTTTGCATTTTTTTCTTCCTTTGTTTAACAGGCTACTTGAGTAAGTGCAACATGAAACCTGAAACTTTACAATGCAAACTTTACAAATACACACAACAAATTCAGAGGGAAGCTGTGGTGCTCTAGCAACAGAACAATCAGGCAGTGTTACAGACATTGATTATGGTTAAATTAACAAAAAAAAAGTACCATCTGTGATACCTTGAAGCCTAACTCATTTATTGTACCAGAAGCCATGTGAGCAAGAATCTACTTTGTCAGATGCATGAAATGGGCCCTGGCTCACAAAACCTTATACCCACTATATTCATTCCGTCAACAACCTCTGCTATTTCAGCTTCAGCAGACTAACACATCTATCACCTTGGAATTTATGCTTTAAAAAATTCACTTTTAATCACATCATTAGAGCCTTCTTACATACATGTAACTTTTTAAAAAGTAAATGTTCACTCACAATGGACAGTTTCTCATTTGTCGTGTATCTAGCAAGGATTTCGCCTCGTTTGCTTGACCAAGGCTCAAAGTCAGGCCCTACAGTCAGATTTTCATCTTTATCACGTTTCTTTCTGGAACTGTCCTATGGAGTAAGAAAGGAAAAAGGTGTAACATCCTCATGCCAGGTAAAAGTTTGACTTCCTGTATATTGGTTCAGTTCAGATACAAAGCAAAACCACGGTTTATTTTAACCAGGGGTCATTTCCTGCAGGAGCGCACAGGAGCAGAGCTCCGGCAGTAAAGAGCCCAGGGGGTGGGCACATGCAACAAGCCCCACCCCCTGCTCCCAGCAGCCCTTAGTCAGAGCAAGAAGCAGCCAGGTAAGTTGCAGAGCTCCCCCCAGCCCCCCGGTCCAAAACAGTCCAGTGGCACCTTTAAGACCAAGTTTTATTCAGGTACAAGCTCTCCCTCCTCTGCGAAGACAGATCTGTGCATCCCCCCCCCCCCAAATAGCTAGCAATCCAAAACAGTCCAGTGGAGCCTGAGCGGTGGGTGTTGCCTTCTGACACACTTCTGGTGAGGTCAGGGGGTGTGGCATATGCAAATAAGTTATGCTAATGAGTTATGCTAACGAGCCCCTGCACCTCTTTTTCTACGAAATGACCCCTGATTTTAACTATTGCTAGTTTGTGAAACCAGGATCCAGTTCACAGATGACCATAAAAACCCTGGTTTACCCCTCAAAATTGTGGTTTTATCACTCCTTTCCTGCTTCCCCCCTGTAGAGACTTTGCTGGCATCCCAGCATGCATTGCAACACAGGAAGCAGCAAGGAACAAGCCAGAACATCTTGTGTTCATACATCAAGCAAAGCCATAGTTAAGACTAATTGTGGTTGATAAGCCAACTTCAAACCATGGCTCCAGATTTCTGGTATGACATAACTTTACTAATCAGCCAGTTCATGACCCCAGATTTTTATCCAACTTTTACCCCGTGGAATTCAGGGCACCATATGTGGTTCTCACACCATTTTATTCTCACAACAGCCTTGTGAAGCAGGCTAGACTGAGAGAGGCTGACCCAAGGTTCCCCAGTGAGTTTTATGGCTACCATAAAAATGAATATCTAACCAAAGTTGATTTTTTTAAATTTCAAACAATTCCAATTATCCAAAATCAACAGTATTTTAAAGAACTTGATAAACTGGTGTCATAATTTATATGGCAAAACAAGAAGCCAAAATTAAATTAAAAGCTCTGCAAGATGCAAAAGAAAGAGCTGGATTTGCTTTTCCAGATTGGCTTCTATACTATAAAGCAGCTGCATTGATCTGGGTGAGAGAATGGATTACTTTGCAAAATACAAGGTTATTAAAATTAGAAGGACACGACTTACTATTGGGATGGCATGCATTTGTGTGGTATGATAGAGATAAAATACATAAATACTTCAAGCAACATTTTCTCAGAAGAACATTATTGAAAGTATGGGAAGAAACTAAAAGACTTTTTAATACTAAAATACCCAAATGGGTTTCACCACATGAAGCTTTTACAAACCCAAATTTATTTTTTTAAAAACTTATTGTACATATATGAAGATGTGTTAGGTAATAAAAACCAACTAAAGACAATAGAGAACCTCCAAAAACAAGATATAGATATGAATTGGTGGGAATGAGCCAAATTAGAATCAAGATTTGTTAAAGATAAACAAATGGGTTTCTATGAAAAGCTAACTGAAATAGATAAAATATTGCTCTACACTGATGACAAACTTATTAAGAAATTGCATGTTACAATGCTAGAAATTAAAACCTAAAATGAAGTGGTCAAGTGCTCTATGGTTCAATGAGCTCAAAATTTGGGCCATAATATTGATTTAGATCAATGGTCTAAGATATGGAAAACAAATATAAAAATTACCAAAGCAATTTCTTACAAAGAAAATATTTATGAAATATTTTATAGATGGTATATTACACCAGATAAGTTATCTAAATTTTATCCTAATATGTCAAATGATTGTTGGAAATGTCAAAAGATGGTTGGTTCTTTTTTCATATGTGGTGGACTTGTGAGAAAAGTAAAAAAAATTGGGCTTGGATACATGAAATATATCAAAAAAATTTAAAAAGTAATATACCCTTTGTACCAGAATTGTTATTATTGAATATACTTCCAGAAAATTGTAAAAAGCAAAACTCTTATCTTATTATACATGTAGTTACAACTGCTAGAATATTATATGCTAAATATTGGAGAAGAAAGGAGATACCTTCCAAAGAAGAAATAATAAACAAACTACTTGAAACTGCTGAAATGGACAAATTAACTTTAATTTTGAAAGGATATAAAGAGGAAAACTTCGAAAATACATGGTCAAGACTGTCACATTAAATTTCACATTAAATGAAATGTGAATACAACCGAAAGAGAGGACAATGAGAAAATGTATATTAAACTGTGCAAAAGGTATATTTAACATTATAAGATGTAGAAACATACTTTTATATGGACAACTTTAACTCAAAGAGTTGGAGATTCTCCCAATGAATGTTTGTATGCATTTATTTTTGTTTTTATTCGTTTGTCTTTGTCTGTTTGTTATAAAATAAAAAATATTTACCAAAAAAAAGAAAGAAAGAAAGGATGCAACTAGGACTTCAACTTTATGCAGAATTAAAAACACCTGAGCCAGGGAAACAAGCCAAGATGAGCTCTGCCACAAGTAACTTTATGTAGGAAGCTAGAAATCAGGGCTTTCTGTATCCTAAAGAATTCCGTGCTCCACAGCTAGAAAACTGAAATGGTTGGTAGACTCATTCTGCAGCCACTTTGGTGAAGCTAAGCAGGCCAGGGTCTGGTCTCAGATGGAAGATCTCCTGGGAATCTATATATGCTGGCTTGGGTTGAACAATGGGAGAAAGGTGGGGTAGTTATGATAGCTTTTCAAAATACAAAACTGTGGATGACGTATGACTGAGACCAAGGACTAAGGTAGCTTTCCCTCACACCCTCAAGAAACTTCCCTCTTTTTTTTAAAAAAAATGCATGCACATGTGCAAAAGCTAAGATTTAGCGGATGCTGAATTCTGCAAGGGGACCTTTAAATGTTACAAAGAAGCCTATAACTGCTAAAAACAATGCAATCACTATTCCAGTTTGTAGTTTCCAAAAACATCTACCTCCCCTCCAGGTGTTACCAACCCCCAAAAATGACATGGGAGGAAAAAAAGTGCCACATTTGACCCTACATGCAATGGAAATAACAGGATTTTAGTTGAATTGGTGGGAAAGAGCCAAATTAGAATTTTAGCCTAAGCATCTAAGATAAAATAAAAAGTAGCAAATAACCTCGACACAAAGACTTAGCGGTTAGTGTGTCAGACTTGGATCTGGGAGGCCAAGGTTCAAATCCCCCATCAGGCAGAGAAGCTTGCTGGGTGGCCTTGGGCCAGTCACACACTCACAGCCTAACCTACCTCACAGGGTTATTGTGAGGATAACATGGAGAAGAGGAGAACAAGGTAAGCTGCTTTGGATCCCCACTGGAGAGAAAGGTGGACGTAAGTGGGAAAAAGCATGTAAACATATAAACAAACTTGCCCCTGCCTCTTTTGGGAAAAGGGCAACTGTGACAAGAGTCACACCTGTCCATCACACTCTCTGCACCACCACCAGCAGCAGCATCCTGAAAGCAGTACTCTCTATGGTTATGACTGTTTTGACAAACAAAACTATGCGCAAACCAGAAACAGACAGGAAAAAAAATTACACAGCACTTTAAAAGATATAGAAAATGTTATTTACAAAGACACAGGAAGCTTACTGTAATGGGTTTGAGTGGGTGGTAGTCTCCAAATTCGGAGAGAGAGAGAGAGAGAGAGAGAGAGAGAGAGAGAGAGAGAGAATCTAAGGAAGCACATATGACTCTGGGTTTCTTAATCTCTAGGCTCCTGCTTTCACTTGAATGTACTATTCTAATGATGCTTTTGCTATTTCTTCTGTCCTCTGGGCTAACAAGCATTAGTAAGAAGGTCCAATGGGTTTAGAAAGGTACAGCTCTGCTTTAGGATGGCACAGTCACTTTGCTACAACAGTGTAGAAAAGTGTTTTCAGGGGATCTCAGAAGACTGTAGGGCAACAACCCAATAACAGTCTGCACAACTGAAACTTTTCTACCAAGTCTCTGTTGCAAAAGAGTCTCTCTTTCTTCAACTAGGATCCTGGAAGATCATTTAGTTTGTGTGTGTTCAAGGGTAGGAGGCTGTTGAGTTTTCCCCAGCATTTATACAGCGGCCATTCCTTTGGAAAGCCAGCCCAGAGAGTGTAGAATGAACTACTTACATTCAACCCTGTGCTTTCTTCACTGAATTTTTAAAAAAAGATTTTAACACAGTGAAATCAATACTGCACTAATATGAACCAACAGCGACCCCAACTGAGCATGGAAAGAAACTGTCAAAATGAGTCTTTCCTCTGTCCAAAATCAAGTCTCTGTGTATACTTTCCAAAAACAAGTCTCAAGAGTCCACAGAGCTCTCAAAAAATCTCAGATCTTAAAAATGAAAAAAGCTGGTTTCAATTAGAGTAAAACAAGTTGTAGGTTCTAGTTTAAATGTATATTTTTCCCCTGCATGGTCCAAAACCATATGAAAAATAACACACCACCTTTTACTCCCTACCCCCCTTCTTCATGCTATTTTGGCTTCAGAGTTCTAACATTTTTTTAAGTAGCTGAGAGAGCTCTTTCCAGAACTGCCCTTTCAAGGACAGCTCTCACAGAACTATGGCTTGCCCAAGGTCATCCAGCAGCTGCAAGTGAAGGAGTGGGGAATCAAACCCGGTTCTCTCAGATTAGGGTCCACGCACTTAACCACTACACTGAACTGGCTCTCAAGATAATGTCACTTTGCACACACCACCCACAATTTTTAAAATTACCATTTTATTTTAAATTGCCAGAAGTCAGCACTGGCTGTCGGTCTTGCTCAGCACCTTTGTCCCCAGCTGCAAGTTCAAGAGAATGTTTTTACAAAGGGATCAGAATGGTAATATAATGGAACAGCACAGGAGGCCACTTGTGTAAGGGATAGTAATGTAGTCTAGTGCACTGTTTATCGAATGCCATCCCTTTCCTTTTCACTGCAACACCCTCCAGCTTTGTAACCTGCTTTTTTCATCATGGTATTATCATGCCATAGACCAGTTTTTATTTGCATTGTTTTTCCAGTTCTGTAGTCCTAATCGTACTGCATTTACTGTTCTTTGCTGTCTGAATGAGTTGCTTTTCATACTTTGTAAACTGCCTTGAGTCTGTGAGAAAGGCAGACTATAAGTGACATTCATAACAACAGCAACCATCAGCAATAGCACCCAAGCCACCCTATTCAAGAGGAGCAGTGAAGCCCTCCCAAGGTGTTCCTGTTTGTTTTGTCACAAATATACTTCCTTTTTCATTACTTCTGCAGCATTTATTATGTTATGAACAAGTGAAGGGGGGGGGTCATTTGTTTTTTTTGAGGAAAGATGATATTTATTTATTTATTTATTATCTTATTTACAGCCTGCTTTTCTCAATGCAGATTACAAGGTCCTGAAAGAGAGAGAGGGGGGGGGGGACAAGTATATCAAGTCTCTGTGTATACTTTCCAAAAACAAGTCTCAAAACAAGCTATAATATGGCCACACAGTATTAGATACACAGTAAACACTGCCATGTAAGGATGCAGTGGGAATAGGAATACAACATTAAATGACCGTGAAATTCCCAGGCCAGCACAGTACACTGCGAGGTTGCACAGGTATAGGCAATGCAGTTCCCTGTCCACCCAACTGCTCAGGCTGTGGGAAGGAAGGGGCACATTTTTCAAAGCGCTCTCTTCTCTCAAAGATACCCCACACGCACAGAAACACAGCAGGCAAAGGGTTGGCTAGAAAGTTGCTCCCTCAGGGGCTATTTCCCCGTTTCAACTGGGCTTCTTACCCGAGAACCGAGAACCGTTCAGAAGCCAGTTGTGGCAGCAGAAGAATAACATCTCCACTCCCCTCTCATTTTCTGCTGCAAGAAATGGGCTCCAGGCGACAGTTTAAACAAAATCCTGTCCGCCTTTTGAGGCGCCACTCAGGAATTCAGTGTTCCCTCTAAGCTGAGTTAGTGTGAGCTAGCTCACAGGTTTTTAGCCTCCGGCTGACACACTTTTGTCTCAGCTCAGGAAGGAGGGCTCCAGAGCAAACTAATTTATGCAGCAGCCAAAGCTCCTGCTCACGACTGTAATGCCAGTAGCTCACAAAGTAGAATTTTTGCTCACAGGGCTCCACAGCTTAGAGGGAACATTGCTCAGGATTCCCGCTTCTCTTTTTCTGCCTAGGCTTGCCAACCTCCAGGCGGCACCTGGAGATCTCCCACTATTACACTTGATCTCCGGTCTGTCCCGATCAATGTTCCCTCTAAGCCGTGAAGTCCTGTGAGCAAAAATTCTGCTCTGTGAGCTACTGGCCTGAAAGTTGTGAGCAAACGATTTGGCTCCTGCATACATTACTTTGCTCTGGAGCCCTCCTTCCTGAGCTAAGACAAAAATGTGTGAGCCGGAGGCTAAAAAACATTGAGCTGGCTCGCACTCACTCAGCTTAGAGGGAACACTGGTCCCGAAATCAATGTTCCCTCTAAGCTGAGTGAGTGTGAGCTAGCTCACAGCTTTTTAGCCTCCGGCTCACGCATTTTCATCTTTGCTCAGGAAAGATGGCTCCAGAGCAGACTCATTTATGCAGCAGCCAAATCACCTGCTCACCACTTGAATGCCAGTAGCTCACGAAGTAGAATTTTTGCTCACAGGGCTCCACAGCTTAGAGGGAACATTGGTCCCGATCCGTCCTCCTGGAGAGAACAGCTGCTTCGGAGGGTGGGCTCTAGGGCATCAGGCCCCTCCCTCCCCCAAAGTCCACAGGCCTTTCCCAGCCCAGAGCGGGCAACCCGGCCTATTTCCACCCCTTCGGGCCAATTCACACCTTCAGACACCCGCCCTCTCCCCGCCGGCTGCCTTTGGCGCCCGCCCGACGGAGCCTGCAGCGCCGCCTCTGAGGAGAAACAGAGAGCCGCCTGGGCCCGCCCGCCCAGGCGGCTCTCTCCCCTCCCGTGGCAGCCCACTCCCTCCCCGACTCCCCTCAGCTCTTACCACGGGAAAGCGGCCATCTTGCCCGGCTCCTTTCACATGACTCCGTCCGCCCCGCCCCGCGGCGCCGCCTTCCGCGCTTTCCTCACCGGAGCGCCCGAGGCGGCCATCTTTGCGAAGGGCAAGCGCCGGAACGGGCAGGATTGGCGCGCTGCTCCCTGTCGGCCGGGAGCGCTCCTCCAGCCCCCGCCTCTCTGCAAGCCGGCAGGTGACGGCTCTTCTTCCCTGGGGAGGGCAGGCGGGACCCAAACAGCCATGCAGTTTATTGGTGCAGAGGATTCACAGGGCCGATTCTGAGCGGTCACACCCACCCAACCCCATTGAAGTCAACGGGGTTCGGTAGAAAAGGATGCATTTAAGGATGCAGTGAGGCTAGGAATGGGACATGAAATGACCGTGACGTTGTCCAGGAGCAAAAACGAACAAACAGGGCTGGATTTAGACTTGCTGAGGCCCTAAGCTATCCAAAACCCAGAGGCCCCCCTACTGTTTTAAATTGGAAGCGATAAAAAATGGGAAAAAGCAGAAATCGCCAGGCCCGGACGGGATCCCAACAGAATTCTACCAACAATTTGAGGAGCATTTAAGAAAGCCCTACAAAGAGTTACTTAACAACATACCCCAGTCGAAGAGGATCCCCGCCTCATGGAATGAGGCGCTGATCACTCTAATTCACAAACCAAACTCTGATGAGGAAGAAGTAAAGAACTACAGGCCCATCTCATTATTAAACACAGATTACAAAATTTTTGCTAAGATACTAGCCAATAGAATGAAAAGAGTGCTTTCCAAAGTTATTCACAGGGATCAATCAGGATTTCTACCTAGGAGAAAGATACAAAATAATATAAGAAATATAATAAATGTGTTAGAACACTACGAAATGCAACCGGGAAAACAGAAAGCTTTTTTTTTTTTAATGCTGAGAGGAAGCTTTCTAGTTACCCAGGAATTTCTCTCTGGCTGGATGCATTCAACACACACACACACAAGCTCCAAAGTGTATGGTTCCCGTATGGCTTAATCCTTACACCGAGGAAGAAGATTGGATTTTCCAGCCCTTCACTCAGAGTGGTTTACAAGCTCCTTTCCCTTTCCCTCCCCACAACAGACACCTTGTTACCTCAGGGCTGAGAGAGCTCTGACAGAAACGGCTCTTATCAGGACTATGGCTTGCCCAAGGTCACCCAGCCAGGTGCAAGTGGAGGAGTGGGGAATCAAACCCAGTTCTCCCAGATTAGAGTCCGTGCACTTAATCACACCAAACTGGCTCTCACACCAAACTAACACCAAGCCGTGTGAGCATCTCTGTCTCTCTGAAGTTGAAAAAAAATCTTGTGGCTCCTTAAAGACCAGCGCTTTGTTCATTAGTACAGTACACGGTTTGTGGGCTGGAGCTCGCTTCTTCAGATACTATGGTGTGCCCCGTGCAGTGCCTTCAAGTCACTGTGAAGTACTGTTTAATACTAAAACAACTTTGTTCTAGCATACACTTTCAAGGACTGGAGTCTACTTCAGTTGCTATGAACATATTTTGACTGTGCAGTTATTTTTTAGTGCAGGCTTGGGAAGAAGCGGGTAAGCTTACCTGGGCTTCGGCCCACTTCTTCAGATGCTGAGTGGAACCTCACTATGCACTTGAGGAGGGGGAAAAACCAAAGAGGAGTCATAAAATACAACAGGGACAGGACGAAATGTGAGGATGTAAAATTCTAATCAAGAAAAAGCATCCTCTTTAGATCATCTCTTATTTTCGGGACAGGAAACGACTGCTGGGATGCTCATGAAAGTTTCTTCCTTCCTAATAAGCCTTTTTCCAAGTTAAAAAAAATCCTGCAGTATTTTGCTATGCAGAACTCAGTTTTTGTGCCAGCCTAACCGCAGACTGGACCAGAGCTCTGTCTGCTCAGGACAGCTAGCTGCCAACAAATCTATGGAATGATTACAAAGTTTGATCCCTTTCTTCTTTCAGGAGTTCTTAAGTTTGGCAAGCAAAGCTCAGAAGAAAACTGTACTAACCACATTCAGAATTACTGGAATAAAACTGCCTCCCCTCCTGTTACCATTAAGACAAGCAATCTGAATCAATTTAGAAAGTGTTTAAGTCTTATTCCTGGCATTACATTTGGTGTTTGAGATAGTGTGCAGTTTCAGTATGCAGCCCTTAAATATTACAATTATTCCAGACACCAGAGGCAACCGTCTTGTTGACATCAAGTTGTTAAAGCCCTGTATATATTTACTTGCAATGGGTAGACTTGAAAGGTATTCATTGAGGCAAGCCAGATATACCCAAAGGAAAACCACAGACACAATTTTAAAGATAAAAAAGTTTACTGTGCAATGTGCTTAAGGAAAAAAATAAGAGCAGGAAGATGACAACCAAAAAGTACAAAAATACCACTTTAATATATTATATTCCACTCAAAATTTTAAAAAAACCCTGAACTGAAAATTACAATAAATAAATACAAAACCATCAAATTACTTATAAAGTTCTGGCACTTGTAAATAGAAGGCCTTATGATAGTTTTAAAATGTGACATTTCAGTACGGTCTTTTAAATTCAAAAGGAAAATAGTGTACTTCAGATACCTGGAGAAAATTAACTGGTCTGTATATTTTCATGTCACGTTGAAACTTCCTTCTACTTACAGTCTACACTAAATTATCACCACAACAAATACAAACAGATTTACAGACAAGGTTTATCAATATTTTTTAGCAATGGTTCATCAAGTAAGCTGTAGGTTAACTTGCATGGCCATTCCTTGCACTTAGCTTGCCAATCTCCTGTTAAGGGTCCCCCACCCCACCCCCATTTATGCACACCTCTAAGGGAAATATTCAAGTCATGCAGAAGACATTAAGAAGCAGTCTAATACCTAAGGACTGTCTGGGAATCCAAAAAGTTAGAAATCCTTACATTGTGCAGCATCAGTTAAGCCAATAATGAGCCCTTGAAAGGAGGCTTTACATTGTGCTGTAAGAACCTGCTGAGTAGTTTGCAGAAGCCGACTGTGTTCTTTTGCGCTAGTGTTGCTACTCCCACTCCACGCTCCAAACTGAGCGTCTAAAATACTGCATGATATGTAAGTAAAGGACATCAGAAGATGCCCACAGTACGTCTGCAGCCACCCCTCTATGCCAGTTAATTAAACTGGAGGATGAAGTTTTCACCCTATTTTAACTTACAATAGTATGTTGCGTAATATCGTGAGTTCAACTGTAATGTTGCCAGATTTGAAGTTTCCAACAGAAGCATAACATTGATACCAATCTGACATTCACATTTAACCCACTTCTATGCATTTCATACGTGAGACACTTAACAGCACAATTACCAGCTGGACAGATTAGGTATATACACTTTCCACACACTGACCCTGTTTGGTTCAGTATCTCTGAGCCACACTGATGTCCAAACAGCTAATTATAAATGAGAGAGTTTCTGATAATCAAGTCCCTTCTGACATGGGTTTGGTGGTTTTAAAAGTTTATACTTTCTGTGAAAACAAGCAGTATAGGAAGGGTCGCAGCTAGCTGAGAAAGCAGGCATTTTGCAGACTTTATTTAGCACTCCAATAACTATTGCTAGTCCCTCTAAATAAAGACATGCTAGAATGCTTTAGGACTGTTAGCAAAAAGACTTTGTCACAACGCTGTCAGAGGTGGCAGAACAAGCAGTTTTGTATCTTCTCTTCCATTAACTAGCCAAAATTCATCTCCGAAAAAACCTATCAAAGTCTTTAAAAAAGAAATACAAAGTAAGACACTCTGGTCGTTTTTTTAAAAAAAGAAATTTAAGTGACTTAATATTTAGTAAAAACTCTAAACCGTCATTGTTTACATTTATTTACATTTTGTCCTTTTAAGATTTGTTGGGGGAACAGCACAGCATTGACCTGGTGACTGCTGATTCCGCAGCAAACAGAATGGATTCCTAAGGATCAACAGCTGAGAACGGTATGTTCAAATATATCCGGAGTCCAGATTTTGAAAGAGAACGGATTTTAAAGAGACTTGCACAGCACGCTGGAAGTAAGGCCATGGCAGGAACAAAGTAAAAGCCAGCATGTCACACGCACACCAGGACAGCAACAGCACCCACAAATGCTTAAACCAACATATTGGCAATTAAAGCTACATCAGCCCCATGGGATTTTTAGCGGGGCTGAAGCAAGAAAAAAAAGCAAGGCCTTATGTGGTTGAACCAATGTCTTAAAGGCTGCCAATCCCTACAGAGATTTATGAAAGTTGCTATTATGTCCATAAATAATTTAAATAATAATATAATTAAAAAGTGCTAAGATACTACAAAAATCCTGGAAAATTATAGTTTAGCATTCTTCCTGAGGCTGTGCAATGTATACTACTGGTATACATACGCAGCTGTAGATACAGGACACTTAAAACATGCAGAATAAATGCTTAAGTCTGTTGCCCTGTTTGGTTTTCCACTTCATTGAACACCTTTCAAAAATCTTTGCAATGTATCAAAGAGCATATGCTGGCTCATTTAAACTTATCCAGATGTGTAGCAGCTGGAAGATCTCAACCAACACAGAACATGATAAATCTAAGCTGCCTCCTTTAGCCCAGAGAATGCTGCCGCCTTAAGTTGTCACAACACTTGGCTTCTTTCTTTGGATTTTTCCTGCATATACTCCTGCAAAGCAAAGCAAGAAGCGTTAAAATACAAATAGAAATACTGCTGATATTCTATTCCTTTACGGGCTGCATTTTAATAAAGGTAACTCAAAAACCACTTCCAATAGTTATTGGGTTGAAAGAAAATGAGAGTCAGTAAATGCATTGCGTTAAAAGAAAAGCAACACTGGAGAGCTGCTTTCAAGGATTCCTCTGCCAAGCTGAAGCGGCAGCCATTTGTGTGGATGCAACAGCAAAACTCCAAGAAAAAGGAGCAGGTCCATGGCAAGAACACACAGCAAGTAAGTTTGAAACTAGGGTCTTACGACATTCATCGCATCAGCAACCCAAACTTTCACAGTAAGTGAAGACACACACTGACCAGTGTTCCCTCTAAGCTGAGTTGGTGTGAGCTAGCTCACATTTCTTGAGCCTCCGGCTCACACATTTTTGTCTTAGCTCAGGAAGGATGGCTCCAGAGCAAAATAATCTATGCAGCAGCCAAATCACTCGCTCACAACTTTAATGCCAGTAGCTCACAAAGTAGAATTTTTGCTCACAGGACTCCACAGCTTAGAGGGAACATTGACACTGACCAAAGAAGAGAGAGCTGTAGTTAGTTTACAATAGAGCTTCCAAACCCAGGAATGTTTGTAGAGGAATTCTGTCTAGCCACACAGTTATAATACCTGTAAGTTGTACAAAGGGGGGAGGAGAAAAGCCACACAGAGCACAAATACTGCCCCCCCCCATGTAAAAAGTGAGCTGAGAGACCTTTCATGTTGAGAGCTTCAAAACATCTGAATTACTGGGTTTGTGTGTGTGTGTGTGTGTGCGCGCGCTGAAACTCTGACGGCTTTACAGTTTGGAAAGAAAGCTCACCAAGTGAGGTATCTTGCTTCCCTCAAGCACACTAAGTAGAGAATGGATGTTTACACATACATGAAGAATACTCACAAACATCATTCAATACCATTGTTGCTAAACTTTTGGCCTAAATTCCTTTAATAATGTGCTGAGAATCTGAATGATTTCTGCATGCTGTACTGATGGGTCTAATTCTGACTGGCGGTGCTTCAAAATAATAATAAAAAGTGCAACTGAGAGTTGGAATTACACATATACATGGAATTACACATATACATGGAACAGCATTAAAAGATTCAAACAAAAAAGGTAAACAATTGTGATGTTCAAACTAGATGGAAAAAGGATAACAGGTATGGGGTAATTCAGTGGTGTATTTATATTCAGGGAATTCTTTCCACACAGAACTCCAACACACTGCAGAGGATTCTTTGAGCTTTTCTAAGATGCCCCACATAGTTCACATAAGACACTGGGCAAGCTCAGGCCTCCCATCACTCTGTGTGAACTGACAGCATGTCCTGCAACTTCCACAGATCACCAGAATGCAGCGTGAAAGCAACTGGTGTAACACAATAATGCTCTTGGTTTCAAAGGTCTTATGTCAAAATTCAACACCTAAAAGCAGATAGGTTCTCCTACAGCTAGTGAAATTCCCTCTGAGGCAAGCAAGATGCCCAAACAGAATGCCATTTAAATACGTTTCTGCCTTCCATGTAACGTCAGCAGGAACAAGAAGGAAGCCATATTACATTTTTTTTAATTCATCCTTTCTCATGAAACAAAAAGTGTGCACAAGGTTAGTAGCCAGGAGACACAAAGTCTTTCCTTCCATCAGTCCGTATGGGAAAACCATGTACCACGGTTTAGAGGTCATCCTATAAGGATATTTGATAAGAAAACCTATTAAGAAATGAAAACTATTTTTCTATACGAAACCGGAATCCATGCACCTTTAAAAAGGTGCAATTTCACTCCACTTCTAAACGCAAGCATAAGGGTGTGTGCAAGCCGATTTAACTATTCATGCACAGTTGGTAAACTCTTTTTTTGCCCGAACTCCCAATCGTAGTTAGTATAGCAAAGCTAGAGCATAACCAGGTCAGCAAGGAGGGAAAGCACACGCCTCTTAAGTCTTTTTTTTTAAAAAAAAACTTTAATACAAGCAACTTACTCTTTTCCTTGTTAAATGAGATCCAAGCACCCATTTTTACACACCTGAACGGGCCTTGTTAGACACTCTGCTCTCTGAGGGCTTCTTTCTATTTTGCTCAGCCCCCTTCACTGAGGCCTTAGGGGTTCTAATTGAATATAAGAGGAGTTTAATAAGTCACCTGCATCAAATCTGAAATGCTACATCCGTTTCTTTAAACGGTTCCAAGTGCCAAAGACTCAACAGCATACAATAAGGTCCTTTCCAAGCATGCGAATACAGAATTTCCATTAATTAGTCCAGGAGCACCTTAGAGACTAAATAAGATTCTCAGGGGATGAGCTTTTGCGAGACGAAGCTCCCTTCGTCAGATAGTCTTTATATCTCTGTCAGAAGGTGGGAGGGGTGTTGCAAAGAAATGTGTCAGGATGCAAATTAACAATGCAAAATGTTATCAGTTTGACTAGAGAAGAGGGGAAATGCTTAGGAATGCTTAGGAATGGAAAATTAACATTTGTAGTGAGATAAAAATCCTACATCCCTATTCTGTGAATGAAAATTCAGAACACTGTCCCCCCAACAATGCCCCCCAGGGCCGCAGCCAGGATTTTTTTTACTTCAGGGGGCATTTAAATAAGTCGGGTGGGCACTGTGTCAGGAGCAATGAGAGCGTAAACGTTTTTTAAAAAGTGATTTGGGGGGGGGGGGGGGGGGGGAGGGGTGCTGGATCAGACATGCCCTGTGGTGTGCCTTCCCTGCAGCCAGCCAGAGGTACACTGCTGGCAGGCAGGGCGATGGCACGGCACGGCGGTGCCATGCTCAAAAAGTAAAATAAACTAGCTGGATGGGAAGTTGGGGGGGCCCTGGGCGGGAAGTCAGGGGGCCTGGCCCCAAGATGGCCCACTGTAGCTACGGGCCTGATGCCCCCCCCCTCCAGGGGACTGAACAGGAACCCAAGGATTCAGGTATCTCTGTTCCTACTTGCATCTGATGAAGGCAGCTTTGACTCTCGAAAGCTTATAGCCTGAAAATCTTGTTGGTCTCTGATACTGTACTTCTACTGCAGACTAACACAGCTACCTTCCTGAAAGTATTAATTGGTTTTCCACAAGAACTTCCATGTTAAAAATCGCATTTACTCTTCCCTACTCTCAGTTTTAAAAATGCTATACTACGTTCTCCTCAGGCCCTTTACCAGTAGATTCTACTTGAATTAGTGGAAGAAGAATTCAATGGAAGAAAAGGGGTTACGTATGTACAAGTACAAATGGAAGACAATACAAAAAACCTACATGGCTACTAAGCCTAACTGAGTGGAATGCTAGATGTTGCCTCGAACATGGAGAATATTAATGGTCGCATATTTAGGAAATGTTTGCACGGGTTGTTTTGAGTGTTACACTCTTCACATGGAACCGAAATGAAGCTCCTATTTCCCTCAAATAATCCAAAACACTCTTTTATCACACCGGCTGGAGAGGGGGGCATAGGAAACTATCTGACAGCAGAACTATCAGGCAGAAGCAAGCAGCTACGTTGACCACAATTTAGTTTAAGGAAATCTGGGATAAGCATGGTGGCCAGTGTTGGCTGGAATCCAGAGAGCTACTTTAGATACAGCCAATACGTTGAGCACACCCTGATCTGACGCTTCCCTGCCTCTCGGAACAGCAGACACCCACCCACCCCCCCACCCCCACGACTGATCTCAAGTGAATTCTGAACCTTCCCCTCCCCCCCATGCAGCTGGTTCATAGTTTGCTGCTGTTCAAGCACCAAGCTCACAGCCCCCTGAAGAACACAGAACCAGTGGTACCAGTCTGCCCTTTGTTTCTAACCCTAAACAAGGTGTCACCACTGAAAATACTTCCCCTCAAAGAGCAGTCTTACCCTTGCCTGGAAAGGAGTCTCTGGATGGGAGCATTTTGTCCCTGATTTGGCTGAAGGACTCTGTGAAAAGAAGAAGCTACGTTCACTATCTGAATTTTACAATCATGCTTACTCCCAGGGGTCGTTTCGTAGAAAAAGAGCTAGGGGAACTCATTAGCATAACTCATTAGCATATGCCACACCCCCTGACATCACCAGAAGTGTGTCATAAGGCCACACCCAAGGAACCCCCGCGAAGGCCCTCCCTGGCTCCAGGCAGGCAGTGGTGGGGAGAGGCATGGAGGAAGCAACTTACCCTCCCTCTTCTCCTGCCTCCTCCTGGCTGAATGAGGGCTGGAAGCAGGGGGCGGGGCTTCGTCATGTGCCCCGCCCCCCGTACCTCACCCGGGGGAACTGCGATCCCCCACGAAATGACCTCTGCTTACTCCATTTGATTATTATTTTGAAATCTCAAGTAGAAAAGATATAACAATCATGGAAGAATTCTTTACACAAACCTGTTTTCTGGAGTCTTTTGTTTCACTATTGTTTTTTTATTTGGCATGCCCATTTCTGTAGCCCTACAGTTGTGCAAAAAAAAAAAAAAAGTATATGCAAACAGACCTTTGAAGAAAATAACAGTTTTCTTATATTAACAAGCTATCTAAAACAGATATAGTCAGAATAATGAATATCAGTACACAACAAGGTTCTCGTTTCTCTGTAAACCTTGGAAGAATCCCAAACATTCAGGTAGTACTACAGTATTAGTCTGCATAAGTAAATATAGATTTTACATGACGGAGCTTCTTGAACTGAGGTAACCAAGGCTGCATTAGAACATCACAGTTAAACAATGCTTTGTGCAACAAGGTCAGGTTAACAACAGTAACGAATCCTGGTCTCTCCATAAACACTGGTTTGGCTGCTTATGTGTCACCCCACCACCACCACCACCTAAGAAGTCACTCTCTTCCCTATACTGCCATCTATGTAGCCAAAATGGCTGCCAAGGGCAACATGACCCCACCAACTCTGGTCTGTGAATTCAGAGGGTAAAGGTAAAGGTTCCCTTGCTCGAAAGCCAGTCGAATCCGATTCTAGGGTTGCGGTGCTCATCTCCGTTTCAAAGCCGAAGAGCCAGCGCTGTCCGAAGATGTTTCCGTGGTCATGTGGCCGGCATGACTAAACACCAAGGCGTACGGAACGCTGTTACCTTCCCACCGAAGTGGTACCTATTTATCTACTTGCAATTTCTTGCTTTCGAACTGCTAGGTTGGCAGGAGCTGGAACTAGAGACGGGAGCTCACTCTGTCATGCGGCACCCGGGTCTCGAACTGCTGAACTACCGACCTTCCACAGCCTGCAGTTTAGCGTCTTAACCACTTGAGCCACCGCAGCTCCTGAATTCAGAGGGTACAAAGCCACAATTAGTGACAACTGTAATTAACAAACCCTACTTTGGAATTCAGTTGCTGAACCAGATTCATATGACAAGGCTGAGCTGTGTTCCACCAAATCACAAGGTCATGGTGGACACTGGAATGCAGCCAGAAGGAATTCCAAGCATCTGGAATTACAGTACACACCCATAACAAAAACTGAGCAGAAAGTCTTTTTGGGGAAAAGCTTACCTTCTTTCAAAATAACACCAAACTTAAAAAAGCAAAACAGACTATCTGGGCAACACACTTAGCCATGAGCAGCTATGTCATACATCAGTACTTCCTTTACCATTTCTCCACGTACTTCATATATTTCTTCCTGTCCAAAGACTTCTGCGTGGCTATAGAAAGTGACACTCTGTCTCTAGGGGTTTTTGCTTTATCCTAAAAAAAGAGAGATAAAACTAGGTATCAGTCTTATTGCACTCAGAAACAAAAATCGGCCTCAGCAAAATTGATAAAATAATACCTTACAAGTCAAATAACTTCATACTTCATGCTATTTACTGGAACTACTGGGACTTTTCCAGAGGCTTTAAAGGAGGTGGTAGTTCGTCCGCTTTTGAAAAAGCCATTATTGGACCCAACAGTCCTGACCAACTACCGCCCAGTGTCAAACGTTTACCGTTCCTGGGTAAGGTGATTGAGAGAGTGGTGGCTGAACAATTCTAGGCTTTCCTGGATGACGCTTCCACCCTTGATCCTTTCCAGTCCGGCTTGGGACGGCCATGGGACAGAGACCGCTCTGGTCGCCCTTACAGATGACCTCCATAGACATCTGGATCGAGGCGGGTCAGTGCTGCTGTTATTAGATTTAACGGCAGCGTTTGATACGGTCGATTATGATGACCCACCGCCTCGCCAACATAGGAGTCCAGGGGACTGCCTTGAAATGGTTTTCCTCCTTTCTCCATGGTTGGGGACAGAGGGTGGCGCTGGGCAAGAGGGTCTCCCCGCGGAGTGCCGCAGGGGGCGATCCTCTCACCAATGCTATTTAACATCTATATGCGCCTCCTCGCCCAGTTAGTCTGGAGTTATGGGCTGGGCTGCCATCAGTACACTGATGACACTCAGCTTTATCTGTTAATGGATGGCCATCCGTCCTCTGTTCCTGGAAATTTGGCTGAGGCTTTGGATGCTGTGGCTGGATGGTTGTGGCAGAGTCAACTGAAGTTAAATCCATCAAAGACAGAGGTCCTGTACCTGGGTCGTGTGGGTTTGGAGGTGGGCACCAGGCTTCCCACACTGGAAGGGACACCTCTGGTGCCGGCCCAGTCAGTGAAGAGCCTGGGGAGTAACACTGGATACCTCCTTATCTATGAAGGCCGAGGTTGCTGCAGTCACCAGATCTGCATTTTTCCATCTTAGGCAGATCAGGCTGCTGAAGCCCTCTCTCTCCCCCCAGGAGTTAGCTACAGTGACCCATGTAACAGTCACTTCCGGGCCTGATTACTGCAACTCGCTCTATGCAAGCTTACCCTTGATGTTGATCCAGAAATTACAGCTGGTACAAAATGCAGTGGTGTGCCTACTGTCGACAGCTGTGCGGGCCCACTGTTCGGCATGTCAGCTGCATTGGTTGCCGGTTGAGTACCGGATCCACTTCAAGGTATTGGTAATTACCTTCAAAGCCTTATACAGCCTGGGACCAACATACCTAAGGGACCGCCTCTTCCCATATACGCCTCGGAGAGCGTTACGCTCTGAGAGTCAACATCTCCTGGTGATCCCTGGCCCAAAGGACGTCCACCTAGCCTTGATTAGGGCCAGGGCTTTTTTATGCCCTGGCCCCCACCTGGTGGAACATGCTCCCTATTGAGACCAGGGCCCCCCTGCGGGATCTTATGCAATTCCGCAGGGCCTGCAAGACGGAGCTGTTCCGCCAGGCCTTTGGCTGATGCAGCGGGCGTCCACATATTCCCCCCCCCCCGGAAGGTTGCGATCTCCCACCTACTGATAACCGGCCATACCTAGTTATATCAATGGGCCAGATTCGCCCTACGGCAAGCATGACTATCGATTATATGTGTTTTAATGTTTTTAAATTTTATTGGATTTATTAAAATGTTGTAACCCGCCCTGAGCCCGTTTACGGGATGGGCGGGATACAAATGTGAAAAAAAAAAAAAAATTAAATACTTTATCAACTCATCCTGAAACTCCAGTAAAAAAGAAATAAGCAATTTTTTAAAAGTTAGATGCTACCACGAGAAGTCACTCGAGTTGTATGAGGTGCGCCCATAAGCTAGTGTCGGAATATTTTTTTGTTTCCATTTTTGTGCAATTGTTATTTTTGCCCATATCAGTAGGGTTGATATTAATGTTTCTGTGCTTTTTTTTAATTACAGGTGTTCACCATGTCTCCAAGAAGATAGATTCCAACGTACAAGGTAAGTCTATATCAGTTATTAATGCAATTTGTTTTATTATTTGTACCCAGTAAGTTTTTATTAGAGGGCAGTTCCACCAACAATGTGCGAAGTCTGCTATCGCTCCACAAATTTTTCCAGCATTTATTTGTAATCTTTGAATTTATTTTGTGTGAAACCGCCAGGGTCATATACCACCTGTTTTAATATTTTGAATGAGGTAAATCTGATACTAAAAATATTAGATGTATTGCTAGGTGAAGACCAAATTAAGTTCCACTGTTCCTCTGTGAATGTCTTCTGGCAGTCTATCTGCCACTGACGTTGAAGATTTTAAACTAGAAGTCTTGTTCCCCTTTAACAGCAGCTTGTAAAGCTTGCCTATCATTCCCTTTATTTCTCCATTTGCATTTTTTAGGATTAGTTCAAATTCGTTTAACGGTCTCGAGAATGTCCCTTCTTTTCGAAGCTTATGCAAGAGGTCTTGCATTTGCAGGTATTGAAACCATGAACCATGGGATTTTGCCGTTCAATTTGTTTTCCAAGTCCAGTTTGGTCAGAGGAACGCCTTTTTTTGTTAAGTCCGTTAAGCGTGTTATACCTGCATCTCTCAATTCAATTCAAATACCTTTTATTGGCATACAATATTAAAAGCGTTTCCCAATAATACAATCCAAGAGAAATTATAAAATAGATAGTCGTGGCTATGTCAGGCCTAACTCAAGTTGTCACAAGTTAGATTTGACCATACAAAAGATGCCTGAATCATAAAATAAACTGGCATTCCAAACTTTTAAACTTAAGTTTTTAAACTTATAAATTAAGAATCATTAATATGATCAGGGTTACTCTTCCGTTTTATAAAACAATGGAGAAACTTAGCGGTCAGTTCAATGATCTCCAGATCTCGTGAAGCAAGGAGAAATTGTACCTTGATTCTATCCGATTGGCCTGCTACCAACCTAAGGGGGGCTTCTATACACTCCACTCGAATGTCATTTAACAATTTACAGTGTAAGAGTACGTGCTCAACAGTTTCTATTTCACTTCTGTTACAACCACAGAACCTGATTGAATAAGGAATTTGCTTATATCTCCCCTCAAGAATAGCAGAGGGGAGAACATTAAGACGGGCCAACAGATAAGCTCTACACATTTGCGGTGAAGTCAAACAGAAAAAGTAATATGGTAGAGTACCAGAAAGGGGATAAGCCCACCTTACTGAGGAGCACCTTCCGGAGGCAAGGGCTCTGAGCTCTTGCAACTCTATATCAATAAGTCTCTGTTTAAGCAAAGTAAAGACCTCAAGCTCTGACCGGATGACAAGGTCACTCAGGTTAAAACCAATAGAAGTGATTTTCTTTTCAATAGCCATAAGCCACGCAGAGGATTGAGATTCTTCCAGCATATAGGTGATAAGGCTATTGTGGTTACATCTAAAATGCAGACGTAGCCAAAATCTGAAAGTAATAATCCAGGCCTTGGTCTCTAACCGTCTCAAATTAAGCTCCAGACAAATGGCAGCATAAGATACGCACGAAGGCAACCCCAGAATCTTCCTCAGGAATTTGGATTGTAGTTGTTCAACTGCTTTATTAAAAGCAGTAATCCAGATAGGAATACCATATAGTAGCTTCGCGCTAATTTGATGTGCAAACACTTTTATAAAAGAGTGTGACAAAAAAAAACCTTTTTAAAAAAGTGTCTTTGAGCAACAACTGCAAATTATTATGGGAAACACATGAAGTTGCCTTATAAAGAGTCAGACCACTGGCCCATCCAGGTCAGTCTTGTCTCCTGTGACTGGCGGTAGTAAGCCAGAGTCTCAAGCCAAGGTCCTTCACATCACCTCCTACTTGTTCCTTTCAATCGGAGATGCTGGGGACTGAACCCAGGATTTTCTGCATGCAACACCAATGCTCTACCAGGGCTCTTCCCCATGTCCTGCCTACAAGCTGCTGACCAGGGCTGCAACCAATCCACCATTATTCAAATGCTAAGAACCAATTACTGAATGAGCCAACGTCAAAACATACCAGCTGCCGCAACATTTTCTCTTTGCGAACTTCCCGATCATGGTGCAGGATATTCATCCTTTCAGACACCTCCATTTTGAAGAATATGTCATGAATATCAAACAAGGCTGCTCTGAGCTGGAGGAAAAAAAGCAATCTCTGTGACATGCAACAACATTTCAGGCCGTGCACCTTTTAATCTTTCAGAGACACAGATCATCATCCCCCACCCTGAGCAAACTTCAAAAGGGTCCATCCTGCAACAACGGAAGCCTGGCTGATGGTCACCCAGGAAGAAGCCTGGTTGCTCTCTGAAGCCTCTGTGGGTCAGCAGCCAAGCACAAAAGTTCACAGATGACACTGTGCCTGTTTCAGAAGACAATTTTGGGCCTTGGTATAGAGAGGAGGGAAAGATGACTGGCAAGCGGCAAAATGCCTTGAAACTTGAGTAGAGGCTCATCTCCATCAGCACGTCAGATCACAGTGGAACCTGAATAGCCCTCACTAGAGTGATCTCATCGGAGCCCGGAAACTAAGCAGTGACGGCCACAGTGAGTACTTGGATGGGAGACCGCCAAGGAAGACTGGGGTTGCTATGCAGAGGAAGGCGATGGCAAACTGTCCCACCCGCAGTCCAGGGCGGTCAAGCGACGCAGACCACGGAGGCCAGGAAACCTTGGAGACGGAAGGGAATGGCCCCGAACTTACCCAGACAGCGGAATGGCAGCAGGACACCGGAGGACCCAACCCAGACAACAGACACAGAACAGAGCCCACGACAGCCGGAGACGCGACCCGGTGCGAGCCCGAGACGGCGGCAAAGCCACAGAGACGCCTGAAAGCTCCAACCGGACGTGCACGAAGTCAGAGGCAGGGCGCGGCTTGGAAGCTGGAGGAAGGGCCGGCCGGCCGAGTACTGGAACAGCGTGGAAGCGGCCAGCACAGGGCGAGGCACCCTCAGCTCGGCGTCCCGAGCTTTAGTAGGGGGGCGGGGCCCGGGCGGAAGGGAGGGCGGAGGAACCAAGTGGGGGGATAAAAGGGGGAAGGAGGGAGGTGACCGAGGAGGAGAACTGGGCTGGCCAGCAGACGCAAGTACAGAGAGAGAGAGTGAGTGAGTGACGGACAAACAGGTCGCAGAGTCAGTGCCAGGTGGTTGCAGAAGGTGACGTAACCTTCTACACAGAACCACAGACTGAGGTCTTTCCTCCTCCTTCCACCTTTATTCTCCCCCGGGTTGCGGGGCTCCCTTTTGAAGAGCGAGAAGGCCGAGAAGAGACGCCTACCTCCTACAAAACGAGAGGATCGAAAGGACCAAGAACCGCTCCCCTGCCTGACCAGAACGGCGACTGGGGGTCAGTCAGGGTCGACCAGGGAGAACCCTGACACAAACCAGCCCTGCTCATCTCTTGCCCTGAAAACCCCACGTGGTCCTGAGGTCAACCATGAGCTGGCTATGACTAGATGGCCCATTAAGAGGCTCGTCACTTTCAGCATGTCAGATCACAGTGAAATCTGGATGTCAGCTGGCAAAAACCACCTTTTCTAGCAGTCCGGAAACCAGTGCCACGATTTGAGGTAAAACCCGTAAAGCGCAGTTCGTGCCAGCCTCTGGATCAAGACGATTGTCTGAACTGAACTGCTCTGGAGGCCCTGAACTAATTAAATGGAAAAACAAAAAGCCAGGCAGCAACTCTGAATGGGAGACGGGTGACCATTTATCTTAACAGAGAAGTTCCCAGAGGGTTGCAGTCGTGGAGGGCCACTGGTAGCCAGGAGCAAGCAGTGCCCAGTGGCGCCGTGGCAAGGAAGACAGTGAATGGACAAGCCTACGCCAAAGAAGGCCCAGGTCTGAGATGAACGGCTGATGTGACCTTGGGTCAGTCACAAGCTCTGGCACAGCTGTCCTTGAAAAAGAGCAGTCTCTGTCAGAGCTCTCTCAGCCCCGCCCACCTCACAGGGTGTCTGTTGTGGGGAGGGGAAGGGAAAGGAGTTTGTAAGCCGCTCTGAGACTCCAAGTGAAGGGCAGGGTATAAATCCAATCTCTTCTTCTCTTCTTCTACAGTGCTGCTGGCACCACAGGGGTCATTTGGCTCGGCTTGGCAGAGCTCTGAACCAGGCTCTCCCTGAACATCTTGAAGTCCAAACCACAGTTTGAGTTCCAGCCTGTTTTACACAGTACCTGAACGGACCCAGTGTTGTGACCGGCTTTTAAAAACCAACCATTAAATATTCTGAATTCTGTCACCAGGCAACTGCACGCAAATCAGACTATACCTCACCTGAGCCACCACTCGTTCTTGCAAGGAAGCATCTTGAACAGAAACGGCTCCTCTCTTCAGTGGCGCTTCTGACTGAAAGTTCCTAATGAACTCCCTTGTATCCTAAAACAAAGCAGGACATGCAGGCTTGATTAAGCAACAGGGGGGGGGGTCGGTCCTCCCCTACCCATACAACCACCCAATAGCCCCTCCCCCTCCACAATCCGCCCCACCGGCCATCCAGACCAGCCAGTTCACCCTCCTTCCCAGGCAAACTTTTTTGTCCCTCTTCAGCGTTCCTTGTGTGGCATCCCTGCTTGACGGGCAACCCAAGATACTGGCCAGGCTTTATTTCCTCCCTACCACAAATGTCTGTGCAGACATCACTTGTGACTTTTTTACTCCCTGATAATTTTGTTGATGTTTTCGTATGTTTTGCAGGTCTGTGGGGAAACAAAAATATGCTAGCCTTGAGTGCCCCTCTCCCCTCTACCTTGCAGGGTTCCCCCCCTCAATCTGCAGAGTGGGGACCCCCCCCCCAGGTGAATTAGACATCGGTCACCAGTGGGTGGCACATCTGAGCCAAGGGAGAGGGATGAAAAACTGCAGTGATGGAGAAAGAATAAGACATGGCATGTAGAGAATAGCAGCTGGGCAGCGCCGAAGAGAAAGAGAGAGAGAGAGAAACAGGAGAAAGGAATCCCTGCCCTGGACAGGCAGCAGCTGTTAGAGAGGCGGAACCCAAAGACAGCCCGGCTGGGGCCAAATGCACTCATCATGTCTGCAAAGCAGGCGCCTACTCAGACACCCACACTATCCGCAGAGGAATACTTACTTTGACAGTTTGCTGGAGGTGCTTCAATTTCTCTGTCTGTAAGAGTCTACGCGTCAGAAACCCCTTGGCTAGAGCAGAGATCTTGTTTAACTTCCTCTTCATCTCGGGACTATACACCTACAGGAGAGATCACGTAGCCAGGATTTGATCATGTGGCTAAAGAGTCTCTTACACAGAAACAATAGTTACGGCGTGGACATGACCTTCAAGGGATTCAATAGTACAAGTATCTATGAGGACCGGGATGGTGCGCTTCATAGCTTTTTCAGTGATCACCGGAGCTCTGGAACGGGCGACTGGCAGAGTTCCAGGCTGCACCCTCTCTTCTCCCAGGCCTCCTCCTGCTACACAAAACTAGCAGCAGATTAAAAACCAGCTATTACTAAAGGTAAAAGGTAAAGGTTTCCCTTGCTCGAAAGCCAGTCGAGTCCGACTCTAGGGTTGCGGTGCTCATCTCCGTTTCAAAGCCGAAGAGCCAGCGCTGTCCGAAGACGTTTCCGTGGTCATGTGGCCGGCATGACTAAACACCAAGGCGCACGGAACGCTGTTCCCTTCCCACCGAAGTGGTCCCTATTTATCTACTTGCAGTTTCTTGCTTTCGAACTGCTAGGTTGGCAGGATAGCTATTACTAAAGCAGCAGCCAAATTCTGTGCTCAGGCTATCAGAGTACGTCATAAATTTTAGCTGTGCTTCTGAGTTCCGGTTTATATTTTACTCGGAATTCAATTAAACAGTGCCAGTTATAACTGTTAGGTTTATAATTAAATGGTTCTGTGATGTTATCCGATTAACTTTTATATGTATTTTAATTAGCTACTCTGTTATAATTCTGTATCTGTTCATCCAGTTGGGAGTGTTTTAACATCTATACCTTCAAACTTAAAAACGATTCCCTGTGTGAACTTGTATCTGGTTGTGGACGGCAATAAATTATATTCATTCAGCAGTGGACCGTGACGGCGCACTTCATAGCGTTTTCAGTGATCACCAGAACTCTGGAACAGGCTACTGGCAGAGTTCCAGGCTGCACCCTCTCTTTTCCCAATTCTCCTCCTGCTACACAAAACAGCCTTCTTCAAGAGGGTAGTACATCTAAATTAATCAGTTGGATGTGGTTCAGGATCCCTAGTTTTAAAATGTAGGCTTTTATACTCTTTGGATCTTAAAGAATAAGATAACTGAAGCTTGGGGGCTGTTTTATAACAGCTGGCTTAAGGGATTTTTATGCAAACTGCTGTGGGTTTGCCAAAACGTGACAGCCAGTAGTGTCTGCTGTTCAACATCCAGAAGATGACAAAAAATCTCCAGGTTCCCTGGCCAAACTGGCCTGGAGAAAAATTGCTTCCTGACCCCAAAGTGGCAATTAGCATTTCCCTGGGCATGTCAGAAAGGGCCACAAGAATTAAGCACTGAGGCAACCCTTCCTGCCCTCTCTCTCATGAGCCCTCCTCTCATAAGCTCATTTGGGGATGGCGGTATATAAATCTAATAAAATAAATAAATAAATGATCTGCCTAAATTCACAATATCAGCATTGTTGTCAGATGGCCATCTAGCCTCTATTTGAAAACCTCCAAAGAAGGAGAGCCCACCATCTCCCAAGGAAGCCTGTTCCACTGAGGAACCTCTCTAACTGTCAGGAAGTTCTTCGTAATGTTTAGCCAAAAACTCTTCTGATTTAATTTCAACCCGTTAGTTCTGGTCCAACCTTCTGGGGCAACAGAAAACAACTTCACACCATCCTCTCGATGACAGCCCTTCAAGTATTTGAAGATGGTTATCATATCAGTCATCTCCTCTCCAGGCTAAGCATACTCAGCTCCTTCAATCTTTCCTCATAGTAAAGAAGCATTTTAACAAATGAAATCCCAGTTTGCTTGCCCACATCTAGTGCAACAGAGGTCCATATTTACATTTCACAGAAAAGCACAGAACATGCCAAAATACCACCTTTATCACACTACAGTGAAAATAAAAACGGAATAGCTTACAGGTAGCGCTCTAATGAAACAACTGAATTTGCCCTGAATGCTTGAAATATTTGCTGCCCTAGTACAGCCTTGCAAACAACCTCCCACAAAATTCAATTGCCCACCTGAGACCACCGCATTTTGCTCCTGCTAATCGACCTGGATGCTGAAACTGACTTCATATTTGCTGGCGGTTCCCAGAGGTAGAACGGAGTGTCAGCCGTTGAACCAAGCTTGGCATTGACAAAACCTGCCCAAAGAAAAAATCATAAATAAGCAAAATTTGGAGGGAAAACCTACATTCATTATGCTCCTAGTATATATGACGAGCGCAATGCAGCTTTGCCTTAACCACCACACTTGAGCTTTCAGACCTGCACATAAACAGCTGACAAATCTCAATAAACAAAGCAGCAACCCAAGGCTGCCGTCTGTGAGTTATTTAAGCTATGCCACATATTAGAATCAACAAGAACTCCCTTCCCGTATTTACCCATGCTCTCAGAGTTTGCATTATGGAGAGTTTCCACTTGAGTCAGCACAGATTCCAGCAAGCGGGGGTCACTGATTTTCCTCCACTGCAAATCCACCCCGCTGCCAACAGTAATCGGAGGGACCTCAGTTCCAGCGAGGGCAGCCTTCTCTCCTTTTAGCCTTCTCTCCTGCTCTTCGATCTCCTGCAGATGGAGGGAAACCAGAGATCTGGCTATCACAGAGAATTCTCGACACATGGGAAAAATGCTTTTTTGGCAAATCTTCAACTAATAATGCTCAAGTCAAGTCAACTGGCCTGCACAGTCTCTGAGGGAAAGCTGAACCAGAGGAAAAGCCAGTGAATAACAGCATGGCTCTGCCCTGCTTTCAAGAGGCCTCACTGCTTTTGTGAAAGCAGGAGCAGTTGTTAACACCTGCTCAGACCTATTTGCTTGACTTACACAACCAACACAACTGGCGTTATGGAAAGAGTAAAGACCGCCAACGGTGAACAGGCTAGGAGGCCAAGAAGAATATGAGACAACTACGGTCTGGAACCAAAACAGGAGATGAGGCACAGCTCAGTGGTAAAACGCAGACTTCCTGTACGGGAGGGTCCCAGACTCAATCACTGGTATCTCGGTAAAGCATCTCAGAGCCACGGCCAGTTAAGGACTGAAATGGACCGACGTGCTGATGTGGCCTAAGGCATACAAGCTCTTCAAGTGATGTCTTTATTTTAATCACAGTGGAACCTTGCTTTACATCCAAGGAGCAATACCTCCCCTCCAGGAACCTTCTACGATTGCACCCTTTTTGTTTCATTAGTACAATTTGTGTGGTGAGGCTGCAGACCATTCTCATGGCTCCAATCTACTGCCCCTACCCTTTCACTTGCATGCTTACCCTAACCCCCCTCCCATACCTGACTACTCTCAGCCTGTTTGCCACTGCGCTTACATCAGTCCAGCCAAAGGATGGTTGTAATAATTGTCTGCCTCATCCAGGCAAAAGAACTCCCAATGGCTCTTTGTGCCTTTTACAGAACACTCTGAGAGTATACATTAATTATGCCTCCTTCCCCCAGGAACCCCTTCCATTGCAAGACTAAAATAGTCAGCAGACTCAGCCCCTTGTTGATTTGGTCATGTTTCCACAGAGGCGAGGGCTGCTGTGCCTGCAGGCTAAAATGCAGGCTTTGCAGCCTTTTCCAGAGCCACTCTGCCTTCCTTGAGATTTGCCACATCATCTAGAAAGACAGAAGACGAGACCGCTGGCCTGGCACTAGACAGGCCCAGAGTTCTTGACTTTGACCTTTCAGGCTCCGCCCCTCACCTTTTGCAGCCTTTCCTGCTCTCGCTCTTGCTCTGCAATCAGCAACGAGAGCTGCTGCGCATGCTGCTCTTCTAGTCTTTTCCTCATGTCTTCCAAAGCCAGCATTTTTGTTTTCAGAGCCTCCTCGTCTGAAGAAAACAAACACATACATTGAAATGGGACTGCTGTGGGATTCTTCTTTTGTACATGACAAAACTTATCGGCACGGCCTGAAGTGAGAACGTGGAAAGGCATTTTTTCACTTGTCGGCAGTTGTGTTTTTGTTGCAGTCCATCACACTATGAAAGTTGATTCAGTGGTCACCGGAGGTCATTTCGGGGGGGAACGCGGGGGAACGCAGTTTCCCCGGGTGAGGTATGGGGGGCGGGGCACATGTCGAAGCCCCGCCCCCTGCCTCCGGACACCCCGCTTCTGGCCCTCATTCAGCCAGGAAGAGGCAGGAGAAGAGGGAGGGTAAGTTGCTTCCTCCCTGCCTCTCCCCACCCCTGCCTGCCTGGGGCCAGGGAGGGCCTTCGCGGGGCTTCCTTGCACTCCCGCCGGCCTTGCAGGTCCACCGCCAGGCCCCTCATGGGGCTTGGCAGTGGAGCTGCAAGGCCGGCGGTGGCGGCCGGGACTGTTGGGGGCGGGGTGTGTGGCCTTATGACACATTTCCAGTGATGTCAGGGGGTGTGGCCTTATGACACACTTCCGGTGATGTCGGGGTGTGGCATATGCTAATGAGTTATGCTAATGAGTTCCCCTAGCTCTTTTTCTACGAAATGACCACTGGTGGTCACTGTTCTGAAGTTTGAGAGAGTAGCCTAAATGTCAGCCACCAGGGCAGATGCTTAGGATTCACGTGCAGTGAAAAGAGCAAGAGCCCAGTAAAAGAATAACAAAACTTGTGGCAGGGGATGAGCTTTCGTGAGTCACTGCTCACTTCTTCAGATAAAGCTAGAATGTGAGTCCATCTGTCTGCAAGATATAAGGACAGATGGACTCACATTCTAGCTGTTTCAGAGGAAGCGAGCAGTGACTCACAAAAGCCCATACACTGCCACAAATTTCATTAGTCTTTCAGGTGCTACTGGACTCTTGCTCCTTTCTACTGCTACAGACAAACTAACATGGCTTGATCTATGTGCAGTGAAGAATTTTGATTTAGCAGGAGAGACTGCTATAGTTATAAAAGCAAGAATTTTGGTAACCATAATTTCAGCCGCTGCAGAACAAAGTAACAGAGAAAATTATTCTTCCAACCCAACACAATCAATAAATGTGGATATAAATATCAGGCAGCACACAGCAAATACACCTTCAGGAGGCCTTGCTGTAAAACAGGTTATAATTGTGAGGCACAGTAAACAATTGCTCAGAAAAATTTAGGGCACTGGTAACAAAGCTGCGGTGGCTCAAGTAGTTAAGACGCTGAACTGCAGGCTGTGGCAGGTCAGCAGTTTGAGACCCGGGTGCCACATGACGGAGTGAGCTCCTGTCTCTAGTTCCAGCTCCTGCCAACCTAGCAGTTCGAAAGCAAGAAATTGCAAGTAGATAAATAGGTACCACTTTGGTGGGAAGGTAACAGCGTTCCGTGCGCCTTGGGGTTTAGTCATGCCGGCCACATGACCACGGAAACGTCTTCGGACAGCGCTGGCTCTTCGGCTTTGAAACGGAGATGAGCACCGCAACCCTAGAGTCGGACTCGACTGGCTTTCGAGCAAGGGAACCTTTACCTTTACCTTTACCAAACACTGGCCGTATGATGGACTCTGAACTCAGGCAATGAGGATTCTTGTGGCACCTGGAAGACTCGCACATTTATTGTTCAAGAACTTCCATGAGCCAGGGCCCACTTTGTCAGATACACAAAATGGGCTGTGGCCACAATAAGCCTGCTAGATTGTCTGTTTCAACATGAAGGTTTCCCAAGTGCCTCCTAGGACTTCATGGGTTCAGCTAAGCAGGCCTGTGCACTGGAGACCTCCTCCTCGGTACTCCCCATGGGCTTGACTGAACTGACTGAAAGGAGGTGTGGCCACAGGCTTGGATCCCACCTAGACGTTCCACGGGCAGAAGGGAAGGGTGATTTTTGCCAATTCCCCTGGCCTGTACTGGGGCGGGGGCGCTGTGGGCTGCAACAGAGAGGGGAAGGCAGGGAAATCAAGACCCACTGACAGAAGCTCTTCCATCCGTGGAAACTGTTGGCAGAATCCTAATCACGTGCACCTTAGCTACGGTACAAAACCTTGTAATTGTCAAAAGTGAAGTTCTGAACTTCTATTTCTAACTGAAAGCTCTTATGAAAGGGAAGGAAGAGCTGCTGCTCTGCAGGAATCAAAAGATGGGACAAAGGTAAATCATCGTAGCTTCCACGGTGGACCAGCAAGCCTTCAGTCCGTTCTCATCTGAAGATGCTGGTGTCACTCTTAAGTTTGCAACCCTGTACACACTTAAGTGTCACTCTAAGTTTGCAACCATGTACACACTTAAATTAGCAGTTCGAAAGCAAGAAATTGCAAGTAGATAAATAGGTACCACTTCGGTGGGAAGGTAACAGCGTTCTGTGCGCCTTGGTGTTTAGTCATGCCGGCCACATGACCACGGAAACATCTTCGGACAGCGCTGGCTCTTCAGCTTTGAAACGGAGATGAGCACCGCAACCCTAGAGTCGGACTCGACTGGCTTTCGAGCAAGGAAGCCTTTACCTTTACCTACTTAAATGGAAGCAAGCCCTATGAAAGCCAGCAAGACTTGCTTCTGTTAAATATATGACCACAGCAGGGCCATTTTAAGAGTACCTTCTGAACATTTCAGACCCACCTCAACCCAGCCTTACTACAAAACATCTCCTCACCTCCAGAACCTCTGCCATGCGCCTCGTTCTTGGCAGTGAAAGCAGCTCCCACAGGGCCCCTCTGGTCATGCAGCCGCCGTTTCTCTGGCTCACTGGCACCTCCCCTCACACCACAAAGCACATTTTCCTTCTGCCCATTGTCAGCATCCAGCTCAAGCCTTCGCTTCACCTTTTCAAAGCTATTTTCCAAGACATGCTCACTTCCCGCATTCGGGGTGTCCATTTGTGGTGGGTGCTGGGTTTGCATCAGCAAAGGAGAAGGGCTTTCCACGTCATAAGATTTATTAAGCTCTGTGACTGCACTGCATTTGGCTTTGTCTGGCAAACTAGCTTGCTTGGCTCCACCAGCCCTTGCTGCATTTTGTGTGGCAACGGGGCTGCCAGCTGCAGGGAGTTCTTGCAGGCTTGGGGCCGAAAAGCAAGTAGTCGGTGTCCCTCTGCTATCTGATGTCATCAGCGCTCCTCCTCCTCCAGCTACAGCACTAGTGGGAAACCCTCTGCTTTCTTGCTCGCTAGGAGGAAGGTGACAGACTTGATCCTGTTTGACAGCCACCGATTCATCAGAGATGTCTGAAGCACTCTTGTTGAAAGCAGTTTCACTGGAGCAAACTGGAGCAAAGTCTGGAGTCAGTTTTGGCACAGGGTCCGAGGCAAAAGTTTTGTCACCAGCAGTGTGACCAATCAAACCCACAGCTCTTCCCTTCTCGTTGGGGCTTAATTCATAGGCATTTATAGGGTTGTTAATGACTATGTGCCCCATTGAAGACGGTCTTGGGCGCCTTCTGTGCATTTTGGGGCTCATGCTTGGCTCAGGGCTGGGTAATTTCGAGTAAGAACCCGTAAGGCTTCGGAGAAGGCTGTTATCATGATCAAACAGAGAGGTATTTTTAAAGTCTTCATCTGAATCAGAATCCAGCACAGGTGGTGTTCCAGATCTCATGGGTATATCTACTTTAGAGAAACTGGATGATGCTACTACTCTTGTGCTATTTTTGGGGACAGAGGTACCTTGCAGAGAAGTAAGGTTTGGTTTATCAAGCGTCATTGCCGTATAGCTCCTGCCCACTAACTTTCCTCTCTCTTTCATGGAGTCACTTATTTTAACTGCATCGTTTTCTTTATCCGAAAGGCTCTCACTGATGCTTCTCTTTGAACTACTTCTCAAGCTACGTCTGTTTTGTTCTCTCTGTATGTACTCCCTGGATTTTTTCAAGAGGTTCTGAAGACTCATTACGTAAGGGTCCGGGGCTTCCACAGCAGCCAGCCCCATCTCGACATTCTCTTGCTTTGCCGTCTCATTGGAAGGAAGCAGGTTTCCTGGAATGGCAAATGAACCTTCTGGGCAACCTCTCTTCTCAAACAGGGCAGGGCAAACATCCTCTTGTTTATCTGGGACAAGCTGTTCAGTTTCTCTGAGTAAGTTTCCATCAGATTCAACTGGGGCATCTGCTGGCTTAGCTTCCAGTGTCTTGTGGGGTTCTGTAGAACAACTAAGAGCAGTAGAACTTGGCAAAACACTGTTTGAATTGCTCACAAAGCCATTTATCACTTGAGGCTCTACAGCAGAACAAGTTTTCTCCATCCCTGAAGGATCTAAGTCACTCGGACTGGACAGTTTATTCATCTGCAAAAAAAAAGAAAGTCAATGACATGCACTTTTAAAAAAAGATACTTGATCGCTATAAATGGTATCTGAACATATGCTTTAAAGGTTATGTGAGCCAAAGCAAAACAAATTTTAGATACATGAGCCAAGATCCCCAAAAGGTGCAGTCACTTGCGTGCACTCTAGAGGTCTGTAGTGATGCTTTGAACTGAGGAACTGAAGAAAACAAATTGAGAAAATCCCCTGCTGTGCCTGAGCCGTCATGTGTATCTCTCTGAATCTCAGCCACAATTTGTATCACTGGACCTGTTCAGTCCCAGCCATTAAGACCACTTGGCCAGAAAGGAGGGGTCAGAGGGCTTCCACCATTCGAGCCACGGCCATTCCAACATCTACTGATAAGAAACCCAAACAGCAGAGACGCACAGAAGGGTGTAAATTAAACAAAAAAATGAAACCCATGCAAAAATAATGAAAAACATTCAACAAACAATATAATGATATGAACTTATATAAGTAGAGCCAGTTTATCAAAAATATATAATGTATACTATGCAGGTCAGTAACTCAAAAATACAAAATAACGGAATACATGGTCCAAATACACAAATAACCTTCAGAAATAATCCACGTCAAATTTCTCAAACAGCAAAAAGTTCAAACATCAATATTTATAATTCCTCTTCACAAACGCTTCTCGTCGCTTGTGTATCCACTTTTTTCCTAAGCCACTTTGAGGACTTCATGGTTGAAAGGAGATATAAATAAATGGATTCAATACTAACAAGAACAATTGCTATGACAGACAAACCAATAGGCACCCTTCACGTGTATAATTCAAAATCCCTTTTGTGACCATAGGTTTCCAAGAATGTATGGAGGCTGCAATGGTGCTTTCTGTCTTTGTGTAAGCATGTTGCTCTTATTGGCCAAAAGTGTGGAAGTTTAAAATAAGGTACAGTAAAATTTAGCCTTTCTACAATGCTTTCAGTATTAAAAGCACTTAAAATGATCACAGAAACACCTACAAGAACCCTGTACTGTAGGCCTGTATTTCCCCCATATCAGACATGGGGGGGGGGGAGACGGAAGATGAGCAAATCAGGCTTATCTAAAGCCATCTAGTGAGCTTGTGGCAAAGCTGAGATTTGAGCCGGCAACCTCCCAGGCCAAGCACAGCACCTTCGGCATTATATGCACTATACATGAGTTCCCCAAAGGGCTTAAATTAACATATTTAATATTGTGTGATATTACTTTGGCTGGGATGCGAGGGGTTGTCAAAGACAAAGGTTTTGCTACCTACAAGCAGGCAGAAGGTAAGTGGAGCTGTTTGTGTTTTACCCCCCAAACATGCTCCTGCCATGACTTTCAAATCCCAAGCCAAGTGATGGTTACTAGGCACACACTAACATAGCAAGAAATTAAACAAGCTTGTGTTTGGGTCCTTAGTATTATTCTAACTCAACTACCTGAACACGGTGTTCATTCAGCAAAGCAAGACCATTCAAGCGCTACTGGGTTTGCTGCAAACCAAATCGCTCTTTTATTTCACCTGTCAAAGACTATGAAGACCTCATTCAGAGCATTCTGCTAGCACAAACCCCTTCATGGCTACAGAGCTTGTAATTGCAGCTTTATATTCCCAGTACCGAAGAAAAAACACGTATACAATTATGACTCACATGTAAAAGCAATTACAACCTAGTAAACAACCTGCTTTCCTTGTAACCAAATCAGGTATGTGTGTTTCTAAGATACTCTTTTTGCTTCTGTTCTCCAGCTGCATAAATTTACTTTGGTAGCTCTTTTGGTCTGACATTTTCTTGTTATGGCTGAAATAAAACCTAACTAAGGGAGATACACACAAATCCTTGAGTTTCAATTGCCTCCTTACTTTAAGCTCTCAGAAACAGTAGTGGCCCTGTATTCCCTCTTGTTTATGAGTCACGGCCCTCAGTTCTCAATATTTAGCACTCATGCAGCCCGGCTAAACACAGTTACTTGGAAGCCCAGTAGATGTCAGTGGGTGTCACTTCGAAGCCAGCATGACTCAAGCACGACTCTGACAATCCACCTTATTTATGATCATAAAAGTTGATCTGTGTAAAAACTCAAGTGGCTGCAAAGTGCTACACAGCTCCCAGTTTAAGAGAGAAGCTTGTGCACTTCCAACGTTCCTAAGAATTAGACCTCTGCTGTTGTTTCTGCCTATTTTTTTAGAAAGCATGGGGATTGAAAGAAAATATTTATGGGCCCCAGTCACATGGCAAAGTTGCCGCGGGAGAGGCATGGATGGTGGACGGATTATCCGGGCGCGATCACACCCCAACATCTGGGAAGTGGAGCGCACCCATGACTTACCGCCGAAAATGCGCGTTAAAAAAGTAGTACCTCCAAAGTACTTAGGAAACGTTTGCCACAGGCTGCCTCCAGACTCCCATGGTATGATCGCGCCAGCATGCGGCATTCCCTTCTGGTCCCTCGTTTCCCCGCCGGTGCCGTCGGAAGGACCCGTGGTGTGCCGCCGGCGCATCTGATCGCGTAATCGCGGATCAAACTGCACCGGGGCAATTAGCCACACACACACCCCGGCGATATCCGGCCCGTGTGACCGGGGCCATGGAGTAGCTTCCAGTCACAATTTATATCTTAATTTATATCCTAATTTATATCTTACCTGCACATTTTCCAGAATCTCCTGTACACGGTTCAACAAAATTCTTTTCCTGGAATTTTGCCTCCAGAGTTCAAAGTCCAGTGCTTTTTGTCTGTCTTGCTGGATTTCCTTTTTTCTCTCAATACTAAGCTGCAAAACAGATGGGGGGGGGGGGTTTTGAAAGAAAATGTTTACATAGTAAGTTTCCAGTCACAATCACCTGTAACAGACTGTGATACATCACCAGTACAGACATATTTCATTTATTTTTTTATTAAGCCTCTTTTTTGTTTTGCATAAAAATAGAGCTAACAAATAAGATTTAAGAACACAGTCAAAAGAACAGTTAACGGTTTTGTATTTGTAAAATTGATCCCTCCGTCAATAAAGTCCTTTATGTCTAGAAGAGACAGGCTAAGTACAGTTTAAAATTTAGTTTGTACTAAGACACATTCCCGACCTGGATAGCCCAGGCTACCCCCATCTCATCAGATCTCAGAAGCTAAGCAGGGTCAGCCCTGGTTAGTACCTTTATGGGAGACCTCCAACGAATACCAAGGTCATGATGCCGGGGCAGGCAATGGCCAACCACCCCTGAACGTCTCTTGCCTTGAAAACCCCTCTGGGGTAGAGATGTGAAGGCCCGGAAAAAAACGGGAAAAATTCGGGGGGAAAACCTTTTTCCCCCTTTTTTTTCCTGAAGCCTTTTTGTTTTTTTCCGAAAAATTGGAAAAATTGAAAAAAGAAAAGAAAAAAAATGATTATGGAACATTTTGTTTTAACATGATGAATAAAATATTTTAAGACAAGGCGTTCAAATATTTTCCAAATCATTTCTAAAATATATATATATGGTATCAGATTGATCTAATTTCTGTGCACTGAGGACAAGCAAGTCCTAGGTTACAAACTGAACTCTCCAATGCAAGAACAAGATGCATTTCTTCCTTTAGGAGGTGCGATTGTCAGAAGAAAATAAAAAAGTTTCAGTTTTGTTTTTGCATGTGGGTGGGTATTCTGTTTGTAATAATTGTTTGGATACACTATATTTTTAATATGCTAGTTGTGATAATTTCATGCCAAGTAAAAATGTCCATAGTCATATTTTATGTTCCTAAAGTAACAGGAATGACTTTCAATCTAGAAAAGACAAAAGAAATGCTAATGTAGCATTTTTTCAATTTTTCCGAAAATTTCCATTTCCCCCCGAAAAAAACGGGGGGGAAACAGGTTTTTTTCCGAGCTTCAAAATTTCTGGAAATTTTACATCTCTACTCTGGGGTCACCCGAAGTCAGCTGTGACTTGACGGTACTTTCCACCACCAATAAGGCATACAAAAATATTTGGCTTTGGAACAAAGCAACATATCCATCAAAGTATTATTTTCCTATTAAATATATAACATTCTGAATTAAAGTCATCTTACCAGTGGAGGAAGCACAGGGACACCATGGAACTGGATCAGGGAAACACTGCTGTGCTGGGCAACTGGACCAGGCATCTCTCCATGCAGTGCCTCTCCTTGGAGCCTCGCCAGGTGTTTTGCACAGAACTTCCCGTAGTCCTCCATCTCCCTTCAGTAAGGCTGGGTGTAGATAGAACAACACAATTTAGAACAGCAGCGTGGAAATAAGTTTAATGCCAGTGGGGCTCTTCTGCACAGTTCGCACTGTTTCCTTTCTTCCCCTTTCTATCTAGCCAACAGGTAGGCCATTCAGCCCAACCCTGTGCTCAATAACAAAAACTCCAAAACTAGTTCAACACCACATGGACAGCTGTCCAGGCTCTGTTTGAGAACCCCCAACAAAGGAAAGCCCTGTCATGCATACTGGGAATACTCAGCGTTGACAGTTACCAGACAAGAAATCGTTCTGTCAGTGTCATCACAAATGACTCAACTGTTATAATCTCTAAGAAATTCCAGAGATGCTCTGGAACTGCAGCTAGTTCTGCAGAGTGTCACGGAACCAGAATGTTCAGAAATAATGGATTCTGGTGTTTTCCTAAATGGTCATATTCTTGATAGGTAAGTCTCTCACAAGAGATTTCTGGAGTGGATGGGAAGAGAATTTCAGGTTTGGCAACCTCAGGACTTCTATCCCCCCCCCCAAAAAAAAAGCTTGAGATCAAATTCAGGCAGAGGGCTTCCAGAAGTTTCAGATAGGCTTCAGCTCTGGCAGTTTGGTGTAGTGGGTAAGTGCGCGGACTCTAATCTGGGAGAACCAGGTTTGATTCCCCACGCCTCCACTTGAAAAAGAGCAGTTTCTGTCAGAGCTCTCTCAGCCCCACCTACCTCACAGGCCGTCTGTTGTGGGGAGGGGAAGGGAAAGGAGTTTGTAAGCTGCTCTGACACTTTCGGGTAGTGAAGGCCGGGGTATAAATCCAACCTCTTCTCTCTTCTTCTTCTAATAATAATGCACACTAGTACATAAACACTGTATGCCACAGAACAAAGTTTGAGTCCAGTGGCAGCTTTAAGACTAAGAAAGTTTTATTCTGGGTATAAGCTTTCATGTGCATGCACACTTCTTTGGTGCATGCACATGAAAGCTTATACCCAGAATAAAACTTTGTTAGTCTTAAAGGTGCCACTGGACTCAAACTTTGTTCTGCTGCTTCAGACCAACACGGCTACCCACCTGAATTGTATGCCACATTACAACATTTAAAAAGCAACATTAAAATAATAATGCACAGCATACTGACAACATTGCAAATCATTATTTTAATCACAACCGCACATCGCATATTATTTAGAAAACCATACTAAATCAATGTAGTGTTTCATGAAATAAACCAAAGTAAGGTGAGAATGGATATAACAGCTGTAGCAAAAAATATTGCATGCCACATTGCTATCCAAGACTCCTAAAACACAGTAATCCATACACTGATCATTTCTTAAAAAACACTAAAATAATAACAGTATGCAGCATATTAAACAGCATACACTGTATATTACTATTTTGGTGGGGGGTTTTTTACAAAAACAATGTGGCATACAATATTATTGTGCTTTATTTCGATTACTACGTACCATTCTTATTCCATCTCGCTTTGTTCAACAAGATGCTATATATCATTTTGATGTATTTTTCCTAAACATAACACGGTACTGTCATCCGTGACTGCAACAGGACGCGATTATTGCATGCAGCACGTTAGACTTCATTTTTTGAAAAGCTAAAGGGGTAACATACAAAACCTTATTCAACACACCCCGCTGCTATAAATCATCTTTCGTGAAACACACACACACACACGTTGCTTGTAACAGGACATACAATGCAACTGCTCGAAATCCATGCTCGTGCAACCTTGCTGTTTCATTCTGCGATAACGCGTTGCTATTTTCGCCAGGGCAGTTACCAAGGTCCTCCGTAGTTTGAGAGGGGAGGGCCTTTTGCTCCCACCCACCTTCTCGCCCCCTCCCCGCTCCTTTCTTTCTTTCTTTCTCAGCTGGAAGCTGTGAGGAGAAAGAGCCCCATGCAAGCCTCGGGCCCCATGCAAGCCTTATTGTCCCCCCACCTTCCGCCCCCCAGCATACCTCCAGAAGAAGGCCGGCCGGTGTGCTCCACAAGCCGGGCAGAGCGCGCTCCCTGCCCACCGCAGCGCGGCTCCGACGCCTGGCAACGCCGGCCCAGCCCTCCGCCCCGAGACAAAAGCCCGCCTTCCGCCTTGCCCGCAGCACTTCCGGTTTCAAGGCGTGGAAGGAGCGGGGGGGGGGGGGGAAACGCCTTCCAAACGGACGCCGTTTCTACGCTACGAAGCGAAACTACAAGTCCCAAGAAGGAAAAGGCTCTTTTAGCTTACGAAAATAGTGCGTTGCATGCCGGGCATTGTAGTTGGCGGCTCCCGTGGAGAACTTTCTTACAACATAGGCTGCTAGGCGTTACGCCCTTGCGTGCTGGGAATGATAGTCCATAGTGGTGGTTACCGAGGGGAAGCGTTTGACTTTTTGCTCGGAGGAGATGGCCATTCTGTAGCAAATGGGGCCGCCTCTCTCCCATCTGATCAAGAAATGAGGCCTTACCCGAAAGACAGTTTTATGGAATGGGTACTACGGAAAAGCCATCTACGATAAGGCGAAATGGTTCGATAGTCTCTAATAAAGTGTGCTGAAAGTGAAAATCAATACAATAATTTCCCCTACTCTACTCACCCCACTCCAGTCCCACACACAATATATACTCAGTAGTGATCTCCCCCACACTTTGCGTCTGTGTGTGTTCGGGGTGCCATCCTCCAGGTGGGACCTGGGGATCGCCTGGAATTACACAGCTCATATCCAGACTACAGAAATCCATTCCTCTGGAGAAAACGGATGCTCTGGAGGGTGGACACTGTGACATTGTACCCCACTCAGGTCCCTGGCCTCCATCCCTAAATCTCCAGGAGTTTCCCAAACTGGATCTGGCAACCCTACTCCCCCCCCATCCCCTGCCCGCAGCTGGGGGGGGGACCTGACAACCCTGAATGTATTGATAATAAATGTAAATGCATTGATAACACATATGGTGATATCCCCATGGGCACTGTTCCCTCTAAGCTGAGTTAGTGTGAGCTAGCTCACAGTTTTTTAGCTTCCGGCTCACACATTTTTGTCTTCGCTCAGGAAGGGATGGCTCCAGAGCAAACTAATGTATGCAGCAGCCAAATCGCTCGCTCACAACTTTAATGCCAGGAGCTCACAAAGTAGAATTTTTGCTCACAAGACTCCACAGCTTAGAGGGAACATTGTATGAGGAATATAACTTTACATAACTAATACAGGGCAGGAAGATAGATCCAGGTAGTCAGCCGTGTTGGTCGGAAGCAGCAGAACAAATTTAGAGTCCAGTGGGCACCTTTAAGACCAACAAATGTTTATTCGAGGTATGAGCTTTCGTGTGCAAGGCCCACTTTTCAAATACATTGGAATGGCAGATGAGGTTCTAAACTTACAGACAGGGATTTAACAGCAAATTAACACGTAACATGATGATGTTTAAAGTGAAAAACTAAATAGCAAGTGGCAAGAGAGAAGGCAGAGTGTTCAGTCAGCAGGAAGACAGCCAAGACTGGCAAAGAGCAATGGGAAGGCAGAGGATCCAGCATTCCCATAGTTGCTGGCTCAAGTCCCCCACAGCGCCAGAAAGCCTAGGAAGGAGTCTCAGGCACAGATGGGATTTTGCCCTATCCAACACCACCACCAGTGTTCCCTCTAAGCTGAGTTAGTGTGAGCCAGCTCACAGTTTTTTAGCCTCCAGCTCACAGATTTTTGTCTTAGCTCAGGAAGGAGGGCTCCAGAACAAACTAATTTATTCAGTAGCCAAATCACTTGCTCACAACTTTAATGCCAGTAGCTCACAAAGTAGAATTTTTGCTCACAGGACTCCACAGCTTAGAGGGAACATTGACCACCACTGGGGATAGGCCTCTCCTACTGACTGGATGCTTTGCACACCCATTAGGGCTCTTTCTGTAGCAGGAGCTCCTTTGCATATTAGGCCACACACCCCTAATGTAGCCAATCCTCCAAGAGCTTACAGAGCTCTTCTTACAGGAGCTACTGTAAGCTCTTGGAGGACTGGCTACATTAGGGGGGGGTGTCGCTTAATATGCAAATGAGTACCTGCTACAAAAAGAGCCCCATGTTCCTTTAGATGGTTGGTATGTTTCAGAAGAACAAGGGGGGGTGAGAGAGGGAGATGAGTAAGTGAGGTGATTGGCTGGTGACTGAGTGTGGGCGGAGCTAAGAAGTGTGTGTGTGGAGAGAGAGAAGGCAGAGCTCCATTCAGTCAGCAGCCAACTGTCAGTTGTGGTCAGTCTACAGAGTCTGACAAGCAGTCTTCTAATTGGAATTCTCCATTAGTGCTGTGAAAGGCATTAAGATTCTAAAGGAGAAAGTAAAATACTTCAGGGGGCATATTAGCAAAAATCTAACATTGTCAGAGTATTATAAGAGTGGAAGGGGATAGCTGACAGAAACCTAAGTTAAAAGGGGAAAGATTTAACTGAGCAATATACAGGCCCATAGCTACAGTGGGGCGTCTCGGGGCTAGGCCCCCCGACTTACTGGCAAGACCCCACGACTTCCCATCCAGCCCAGGGCCCCCGAGCAGCAGCAGGTGCAGGGAAGGAGCCGGGTATTCCTTCAATTCGATTAGCCAGTGCCCCCTAAGGAATTTAGATGCCCCCTGACTTGAAAAACCCTGGCAATATATAATAAAGATTGGAGAAGGTATATTCACTGAAGAGATCAAAACATCTTGTAGCCAACATGCTTCTTGTGCAAGTAAATTTTATCTTGTTTATTGTTAACCCAGAGTCATATGCTCTTTATAATATCAGAGTCTCATCCTCAGGACCACATAGTCCAACGAAGGAGCCTTTTAGAGCCTGGGGACAATACTGTGGGAAAGGCTAATTAATAAGACTGGAATTAAATTCCTGGTGGCAGCGTTACATACCTTGAGTGAGAGAAGGAAACAACAAGAAATGTAAAACCACATCATACCTAACCACACAAATTAAAAGAGAGGCAGCGTGACAGAGGCATGTTCAGTGACTCGGGCCTGCCAGTGAAAACCACCTAGCGGAGGGCAGGTGGTTATGCTACAGAAACAAGCGGTTTTTCATATTTTAACCAGCAGGCATTTCTTGTTAAGTAGTGCCTGTTCACCTGGTGCTGACCAGTGTTCCCTCTAAGCTGAGTTAGTGTGAGCTAGCTCACTGTTTCTTAGCTTCCGGCTCAGAGATTTCTGTCTTCGCTCAGGAAGGATGGCTCCAGAGCAAAGTAATTTATGCAGAAGCCAAATTGCTGGCTCACAACTTTAATGCCAGTAGCTCACCAAGTAGGATTTTTGCTCACAAGACTCCACAGCTTAGAGGGAGCATTGGTGCTGACCTGTCAATGTTTCAGGGTACGGCAGACTAAATGTTTGGACTGCCTCCTGCAGGATTTCTCGGTCTTGCGATTCTTGATGTCAGATTTGTGTCCATTTATCCTTTGGCACAGGAAATGTAAACAGTAGTGGAATGGAATCTGGAATGGTAGACTGGAATGTATGACTCTGGTCTGGGGACAAAGGAGACATAACACTGCACAACCAGTCACCCCACCTTAAAGAAAGGGATGCTGTTAGTTACTTCCATGCTTGAGAGGAGATGGATGGAGGTAACAACCAGGTCTCAGATCTGTGTATAGATCTATCTGTATACATTATATACTGTATACATTCTGAAGCCGTGTGCCTGCACACGAAAGCTCACACCTTGAATAAAACTCCGTTGGTCTTAAAGGTGCCACTGGACTCCAACTGTGTTCTGTTGCTTCAGACCAACCGGGCTGCCCACCTGGACCTGTATACCACTATGCCAGTCTTCTAAGGTGCCGCTGGAGTCCCGCCTAATTCTTTCGCCGCGGACAGTCGGGGGCCTAGAGGGCACACGTGACTTTGGCTTCCCTGCGGAGGAAGGGCGGCGCGTCAGAATTGCGCGGCTGGGCTTCTGATTGGCTGGCCGGCGAGGATGCGGGCCCGGCGGGGGGGCCGACCCCTTCTCCTCCCCTCCGGCGTACCCTTCGCCTCACTCTTATTGGCTGAGGGCGCCGGGGCGCCGGGCGGCCATTGGTCAGCAGAGGCGTTCGGGCGAGGCAATAATACTAATTGTCAGAGGCTGGCCGGCTGGCACGGCGGCGGCGACCCTGAGGTGGCGGCAGCGGCGGGCTCGGCGTCGCCTGGGTCGGGGAAAGGGGCGAGCGTCCCGGGCGGACCATGTTCTGCTACTCCGAGGGGCTGCTGGCCGCCTTCTCGGCCGTGCTGCTGGCGGCGCTGGCGCTGAGCCGGAGCGCCGGGCTCTCCTGCCTGCTGACGGGCGGCCTCTACTTGGCGCTGCGGCTCTGCAGCCTCCAGCCCGCCGACCCGGAGCGCGCCGAGCTCATCGTCCAGCCGCGCCGGAGCCCCGCGCGCATCGCCCACCGCGGAGGCGGCCACGACGCGCCCGAGAACACCCTGGCCGCCATCAGACAGGTCAGCCCGGCCGGCGCTGGGGGGGGGGGAGAGCTCCCTGGGCTCCAGCCAAAGGACGCAAGCGGGGTGGTGGTGGTTTGGGGGGGCAGCTGTGCCAGAGCCGGGCGGAGAGACGGGAATGGGATAGAGACCCTTTTGCTATGGCTGAAATGTGCATTTGAGCAGGCAGCACCCCCAGTGTTCCCTCTAAGCCGAGTTAGTGTGAGCTGGCTCGCAGTTTTTTAGCCTCCGGCATACACATTTTTGGGAGCTGCGGTGGCTCAAGTGGTTAAGACGCTGAACTGCAGGCTGTGGAAGGTCGGTAGTTCAGCAGTTCAAGACCCGGGTGCCGCAAGACGGGGTGAGCTCCTGTCTCTAGTTCCAGCTCCTGCCAACCTAGCCGTTTGAAAGCAAGAAACTGCAAGTAGATAAATAGGGACCACTTCGGTGGGAAGGCAACAGCGTTCCGTGTGCCTTGGTGTTTAGTCATGCCGGCCACATGACCACGGAAATGTCTTCGGACAGCGCTGGCTCTTCGGCTTTGAAACGGAGATGAGCACCGAAACCCTAGAGTCGGATTCGACTGGCTTTCGAGCAAGGGAACCATTACCTTTTATACACATTTTTATCTTAGCTCAGGAAGGATGGCTCCAGAGCAAACTAATTGATGCAGTAGGCAAATGGCTTGCCCACAACTTTCATGCCAGTAGCTCACAAAGTAGAATTTTTACTCACAAGACTCCACAACTTAGAGGGAGCATTGTACCAGAGTGGTGGGATATATGCAGTCTAGATCACCCGACTCTAACACCTAATAACACCCCGAGGTTGCTGTCTCCCGGCCATGCTTGCCCACATCGATGGGTCGGATTCTCCCTACGGCAAGCTATGATTATTGGTCTTATACATTGACAATGCATTTTAGCATTTCATTGTATTTATTGTAACCCACCCTGAGCACATTTATGGGATGGTAAAGGTTTACCTTGCTCGAAAGCCAGTCGAATCTGACTCTCGGGTTGCAGTGCTCATCTCCGTTTCCAAGCCGAAGAGCCAGCGCTGTCCGAAGATGTTTCCATGGTCATGTGGCCTGCGTGACTAAATGCCGAGGCGCACGGAACGCTGTTACCTTCCCACCGAAGCGGTACCTATTTATCTACTTGCAATTTCTTGCTTTCGAACTGCTAGGGTGGCAGGAGCTGGAACCAGAGGCAGTAGCTCACTCCTTCATGCGGCACTCGGGTCTCAAACTGCTGAACTACCAACCTTCCAGCCTGCAGTTCAGCATTTTAACCACTTGAACCACCGCTTGGGCTAGATACAAATGTGAAAAACATAAAATAAAAATAATACGGCAGGTATTACACCTAGTGCAATAGGTACACAGGGTTGAGGTTGGTTTGGTTTGGGGGTGCCGCTGAACTTCTAGCTTCATTCTCACATCTCTTTGGTACCTCTGGCATTTACGTGCTAATTTGCTGCCATCTATTGATTTTACCGGCCCCCTTATCCAGTTTCAGCTGTGCATAAGACTATCTGTGTAAAACAAAGTTTGAGTCCCGTGGCACCTTGAAGACCAACAAAGTTTAATTCTGGGTATAAACTTTCGTGTGTACACCCATGTTCCCTCTAAGCTGTGGAGTCTTGTGAGCAAGAATTCTACTTTGTGAGCTACTGGCACTAAAGTTGTGAGCGAGCCATTTGGCTCCTGCATCGATTAGTTTGCTCCAGAGCCCTCCTTCCTGAGCTAAGACAACGATGCGTGAGCCGGAGGCTAAAAATCCATGAGCTAGCTCACACTAACTCAGCTTAGAGGGAACACTGGTGTACACACACTTCATCAGATACCTGATCTGCTGTGTTGTGTGTGCACACAAAAGCTTATATCCAGAATTAAACTCTGTTGGTCTTCAAGGAGCCACGGGACTCAAACTTTCTTCTGTTGCTTCAGACCAACACGGCTGCCTGAATCTATGTAAAATCTTTATTACAATTATATTCAGAAGGCTAATCTATCCATGTAAACTTTGCTTCCTTAGTCTGCTGAAGTGAATGGAATTTGCACCAGGAAGAGCCTTCTTAGGATCAGAGTCAGAACCCCTTTTTTTTTAATTCATCGCACTTATATTTTGCCCTATCCCACAGTGGGTTCATGTTTCTTCACATCTAAATGTCACACCACTAAACAAACTGAAGCTAGCAATTGTAATTAAATGTGTTGCAAGCAGAGGGAGGATTACACTCATGTAACCAGTCTGGTGTAGTGATTAAGAGCAGCGGACTCTAATCTGGGAGAACCGGGTTTGATTCCCCACTCCTCCACATGCTGGTGTGACCTTGGGTTTGTCATAAGTCCTTTTGGAGCTGTTCTCTCAAGGGCAGTTCTTGTGAGAGCTCTCTCAGCCCCACGTACCTCACAGGGTTTCTGTTGTGGGGAAGGGAAAGGGATTGTAAACTACTCTGAGACTCCTTCGGGTAGTGAAGGGTGGGATATAAATCCAATCTCCTCCCCCTCCTCTTGTTTTGCAAACAAAGGAAGGGTTACACTCACTTTGTTTTGTACGAGTGATTAATGCATCAAAACTACAGGGATTGCCCTTACATCAATTAGCCCTAAAGAGTGGCCGCAAACTAACAGGGGAGATGACATGCAAATATTTGTGAGTCATTAATGGTAAATATAGTAACCTTCCATTGCTCAAGATATAATCCAGGGCAAACCTGGTGAACAGGGAAAAGAGGACTGTTACTCTTGTGTCTGCTTCTCATGTATTCTGTACCCCAGTAATCTGTCCTGCAGATCAGACCACAAACTAGTCCGCAGTTTCCTTTCCTTATCTCTGAGTGGGATGTAGATAGC